CTTAAATATTGCTTGCATAAATGAAAAATCAGGTTAAATTGTTTATATTGCATTTTAATTTTCAAATTTGAATTTTAAACATTCAAATGTTCAAACTTTGAAAATTAAGTGTCAAACAACTTTACCATTTTCATTTAATATGGTCATAGATGTTATGGCAATTTATATCTTTTTGCATTATTGTATGTTTCTTATACTATTTGATATCATTCATGTATCAAGAACATTATGTACTTCACCACTTTAACTGTCAGCTCCACTACTGCACTTTCGGGTACTTTTCTGCTGGTCTATTCTCATACATGATAATGACCCAGGGCCCCGATCTGTCCTAATAGGTGGTTAATTTCCATTACATAGAATACCCCATGTGAGTGTGTGGAAAAGAAAATGCAAAAAACGTAAAACTTAAAGTCTAGTCCCGATTATACACCTGGTCTGGATTTTTTAGATGTTCTTTGGATGTATAAAACCTCTTAAAGCCCTCCGGGTCACCTGCTTGAGCTACTTCTGCTTAGACCGCACATACTAAATGTTACACACTAAAGTTTAAACTTTTGTCAATAGAACATGATACACATTGTTAGATCGGTGAGATTCTCAACAATTCAATCATTTAAATAATTTTACAGAAACCAAAATACTCAGATTTATTGGTACAGTAAAGAAATTAAAGGCCTCTCCCATATAGATGCCTGTCCCAAATATAGAAAGGGGGACTTCAGCGATATAAGCAAATAAAAGCCTGGGCTACTAATTTAAGTTTTAAATTACAATGTTATTGGGGAATTACATTATCATTTTAATTTATATAGGCTTCCATGAGCAGAAAGGAGGAGTGGGTTGCATAGGTCTGGTAAGCTCACTTCTTTCTCCCAGATTTCTTTTTCAAACTTGTAATCCTCACTCCCAATTGACTCGAGTGACATCACTTCAGGCAATTAATCAGATTACTTGCAGCTGCCTTTTTTCACATATGTGTGTCAGTACTCCCTAAGACGTTTGAACAGAGTTTAATGTGTAAAATTGTTCCTCTTTAAGCAGCATGGAAATAGAAAACCAACAGCTTCCGATACCAAAATGTTTGTTTAGTTCCTTTTTATTTATATGTTCCCTTAAATAATAAACAAGCACTGTCTAGTAGAGTAGAGTTTATGCAACGGTTGCCTTTCAGTGTAGTAAAAGGGGGCATCTACCAATCTCTGATGAGGTGCTGCATTTTGAAGCTATCAAGTTTGGTCCACAGGAAACGCTACTCTAAAGCAGTAAACAGAACTGCTCCTATAGACTTGTACAAATGTTTACTTTAGGATTTGTGGAATCTTTTCTATCTAAAATATTTTTGGAACCTCACCTCAGAAGTGTCTTTCCAGAGATGATCAAGAAAAGATACTGTCAACCTAATCCTCTCTACTCCACCCTGCAGGTTTCAGTACCATCCAGAATTATTGTCAGCATTGGCAAAACATACTCCATCAGACCTCATCTGCATTTAGCTTACTTCAGGTTGCATTTCCTGACACAGGAAAAAGAAAACCGAGATGAATTTGATTATGTTTTATTGTGCAGTAAGTTAAATGTAGTTGCATCAGTACACACAGTCCTATGACACTTTTTACACAGCACATTTAAGATAGTAAATGATACTTTGACAACCAAAGTAGAAATGATGAGAATAAGCAGAAATCAATGTGTTTGTTTTTTCAAGTTGCCTTGACTAAAAGAACATAGGACACCTGCAAATTGCAAAGTGTTTGAAAAGGATGAGCACACATCAGCAACGCATTTGTCATTTCGGACTTGTTTCTTCAGTATGCTGCTTTCGTGTAAAGCCGTTAGATTGTGAAGTATGGGATGTGTTAAAATTATGAGTTTGTTGTGCAAATTTACAGCACAAACTCATTAAATCTTTAAGAAGTTGTATGTGTGTGTATAATAATTTTACACTGTTAAAAAACTAATGAATTCTGAATTGATAATTTCTTGACCTCTAGACTTTTTATTTTGTTAATAAATATGATCATATAACTTATCTATTTTTTGAAAGCATTCTTACTTTTATCTGCAGAAAACTGTTTTCAGTACTGTACATACATAGAGAACCATTTCTACCAATTATTCCTCTTAAAACACAAATTAAGCTGCTATCAATGGTCTTTAATTTAGTCTACCTTAGCTTAAGGGCTGATAACTCCAAATAAAGATGACCACTTCCCTGTCACTTCTCTCCAAAATTTCTGTACTGGGCAAACAAATGCACCAATGTCTAACATTCAATTTGGCCTGTGTAGTTTTTTAAAATTGTGTCTCTATCAGTAATGCAGATAATAATAGTAAATGTTTTCCCAACAAATGATTGCCATATTTGATCTTTTATATGATGTCCTCTATCTGCCATAATTTAATCTGGAGAATAATTCAAATTTAAACAAAAGATCTCATAAACGTAAGAGCTAAATCTATATTTGGAGCCTTTATAAGTAAAGTATACTAAGTATAAGGGAAAAAATCCAATTGTTGTAAAGAATATCTATTCTTCAAGCGCGAAAAAGACTGAATTGTTCCTCATTCATACTTGTGAAGTTTGCAAACGACATCACCATCATCGGCCAGATTTAAACAATGAGACTATCGTGAGGAAATCAACAATCTTTCAGGGTGGGGCACAAAGAACAACCTACTTCTCAACGTCCGCAAAACCCATGGAGCCGTTTGTTGATTTTAGGAACAAGGAGACAAAGACAAACACTCTTGTCAACGTCAGTGGAGTTGAGGTGGAGCAGGTGGACAGTTTCAGGTTCCTGGGAATCAGCATCACAGAGAACCTGACACGGTCAGAAGTATCCGCTGTCTTACCACCAGACTTCAGAGCAGCTTCTTCCTGTCAGACTTCATAATTCATCCTCAGTACTCCACCATGTAACAATGGAACATGTTTTATTTCTGTGACTTACGCTATTATTTATTCACCCATCTACTGTATTTCATTTTTGTATGTAACATTTGTTTTTGTGAGTAGCATAAAGAGAACTACAACTTAATATCGTTACACAATCCTGTGTTGTAAAATGCTAAAAAAAAAAAAGAAAATCTACCTTGTACCCTGTACCTTTCTTGCTGAGAGTTAGATAAGAAGAATGAGACAACCCACTCATGTCTGCAGCAAAGAGCAGCAGGCAGTTATCTTAAGCATAAAGACTGGAGGTGGGGAAACAGCTAGCATGGCTCTGTTCAGGTTTGGGGTTTTGTTAACATTACAAGCCACATAATGTGTGAAGTAGTGAGCTTCAGGGGTGCTGATAGGCTAGCGGTTTCACGCCATTTCCGGTCTTTATGCTAAACTAAGCTAGCTGGCTGTAGCTTCATATTTAGCCTACAGATATTAAAGTGGTATTGATCTTTTCATCTAATAACTAGCATGAGATCGTATTTCCCAAAATGTCAAACTGTTTCTGTAAGTCACCGGTATTTACCAATTTTCACTTGAATTTTGTGCCTTGCCTGAAAATCATCTTTCCTAAATTGGCAAACACCCTGTTGGCGGCAACATCCGTAAAGGATACAACAACCTAGGAAGTATGTTCATCTTGAGCAAGCTTGTGGGGACAGATTTCCCCACGTGTAATCCTTTTTGTTGCTCGTTATGAGGCCACGGTTACGTCTTGTTATTTTTAGATCTCAACTTTATCTGCACAATTATTTTGCCACCTCTTGGGAAGTGACTAAAGATTAGCGTCATTGTTCTGATGACAGCAGTGTCAGCTACTGACTCCACATGGCCTGATTCTCAGTAATGATCACTTGAGTAAATCTAAAATTACCAAACCAGTTTCCTTAGACTAAACAGCTCATGTATTGTACATGACATTATCATATTTTCTCATTTAAATTAACATGTATATTTATCATCTCTTACTGATATCTTACTATACATCCACAGGCAATTTCAAAAACAAGAGTTTATTAAGCCAATGTGGGCAACTGGTTTTTAGGCCCGTCTACATCCTGTGTGTGAATTATTCTTCTTTATGCATTGCCTTGGAGCAGCTGTTTGGAGGACAGCTAATCCAGGCAACATCACATTTCAGGATGAAGTGCCATAAATAAACATATAGACAATTTGCAGCAAGTCAAGGTGAAGTAAGGAGAGGGCAACTCTGACATGTTTACTTAATTAAGAGATTAAAAGAAAAATGTATATTTGATGAGATGAAATTTGAAGAGAGAGAGGAAACCCAGATGCTGCTGCAGCAGAACTACACCATCACACACCTTCATTGTGTGGGTTTGAAAATCTTCATTCTGTCTGTGTGGCATTTCACCCCCCACGTCTGAAAATTGACCACCAGTTCCGTTTGTCTGTGGAAATTTATGATTTGTATCGTGTCGGTTGAGCACTGACAGTTATTACTGTTAGCAGTATGCCAGATGCCTCCACAGAGCAGACATACCAAGGACTGTTTGAGAACTCTGGCAGATGCCGGGAGGGTATTTTTGGCTTCACGTATCACATGTCAGATGGAAAACGCCTAAATGTAAATCCTAGTGAGCAATGTTCCTGTACACAGGCAAAGTCTATTCCCTCACTTATAAAGAATAGAGTGCTTTCATGCAAGATTGTTGAGGCGTGTGTAGCACCTACACCTGCTCTGCTGCCTGATGGATGGATGGATGGATTGAGGCTTCGGGCTGATTTGTGTAGTAATTGTCATCTTACACACATGATTTCAGTTTTTTGCTTTGCATGCATAATCTGTGTCTAAACTAAATTGTGGTCAAAGTGTAAAAAGTTATAACTGACACTGGCTGGAAGTCAACTTTCCCTATTGAGCAGGTTACCAGTCAACACAGGACTAATAAACACAATCTCTCCCTATCTCACCTAGCGGCGCATTAGTCTCCAAACCACCTAACTTGAAAATCTTTAAGTTAATTAATAGATGTTTCCTAAGCTCATGTTTCCTGGTCAATAAACTGATATTATCGATGACTACTACTAGTAACTTTCACTTGAGATTTTATTTCATTAAAAAACATTTTTCGCAAATTTAATTACAAAAAAATATTACGACAAAACTGTCAATTTAGAACTCACACCTTGTTGCTCATCATTATTTTCAGCACTGTAACGTCTTCTCAGTTACACGTCTACCCTACTTCACTGAGGAATTTTGCATTTCATGATGAGACCTTTTTAGATCCAACACATCACTGACCTAGTGTGTATGTTTCTAGCATTCATTCACACAGCAAGAATGCCTAAATGCTTTGCACCATCATTTTAGAAGCACACACAAATATAGGTCCAGTTTAAAAAGTGAAGTAATTTTTTCTATTAAGGTAATAAAATAGATAAATGCCAGTGAGAGAGGCAGCCTTGTGTTAAGAAAATGTTTTTGTTTTTGAGTATTATTAGTTTTGGCAGAAAAATCCAATGCAAGCAGAAAATACACTCAATCATCTGGCTGAGATGGAAAATAAATTAGTTCATCTATTACCATCCCATTTGTGAGCACAGTGGGTAGCTAGGATCTTTTTAGGACCCTTTTTCTTTACACATTCTGCTGTCAATGCAAAGCTAGTGTTATGTTATTAAAACACAAAGACTACAGATCACTGACGTGATGTTGGTCTCTCCAGGGTTTTGACATGGTTGTCCGACTGAAAGGACTGAGGTAATATTCACAGCGATGATCCTCCTTTCATTCTGACCTATGACACACTCCCTCCCACTCCGTCACACATTGACAAACACACTGAAGCAATACTACAAAAAGGCTGCTTTGCAAGGGTAGGTGTAGCTGTAGAAAGGGTTACAAAGGAGAGACATTTTCACGGCTGTGCAGTACAGCCTCCCCATCAGTCCAGAGGTTTTCTGTTTCACTTGCGGGTGGGTTGCTGCCTTCCATAGGTCATAGATATCTTCCACGTGACCATGTGAGGTCATCATCTGGTCATAGATGCACAAGTGGTAGGGCGTTTTGCCCTCCCCTGAGAAATAGATGTGCTCCTGCGGTGACACACCAATGGCGTTGGCGCAGATGCCCATGAACACATCGTCTATGTAAATAGAGGCGTTTAAGGTCAGGGTGGCTTGGTAGATTTTGTCCGCCACATCCCTGGAGATGACATACCCAGCCCCAGCGGTGTAGTCAGGGTACAACAACCACTGGTACATCTCAAAGGGCACATAGTACTTGCTGTCTTTGCTGCGAACTGGCGGCGCCCCTCTGTTCACTCGACCAATCCAGAAGTCCATGACACCTCTGTTGCTCATCTCCTGCAGGTAGCGCACCAGGTTGGGCATGTGGACAAAAATGTCATCGTCAGCGGTCATGAAGAAGCGGGCATGAGCACAGTGGCTGTGCGTCCAGTGGAACTGCAGGATCAGCTTCAGGGTCAGGTTGTGAAAGGAGTCTAAAAAGTCTTGTTGGATCAAATCACCATGGAGATGGTCCTCGTGGATTAGCTGCTCCTGAAAACCAAGTCCACTCCTCTTGCTCCATGAAGGCTCATCCTCCTTGATCTGAGGCGCTCCTAAGGCGAACACCACCTTGACTGTCACTCCCAGGGTGTTTTGGATGTAGGTTTCGTTACCCCAGGTGGATCTGATGGCGTTTCGCCTCTCAGTGTTCTGTGGGGATGTTTTGACAAAGAGGAGGAGGAAGATGTCCTTGCCAGCGCATTTCTCTGGGTGGTCCAGCTGGTAGCGGAAGTTGCTGAAGCTCCTGGCCTGTTCACGTGGGATGGTGAGGCTCTTGTTGATGAAAGTGAAGCTGTTGACCAGGTAGCGATAGGAGTAGGATTTGACGTGGCTGACAACGCTGTTGTCCAGCTGCTCCCAACAAACCATCACCACCGACAGCACCAGGCAGGTGGTCATCAGCTGCACACACTGGCATTTTCGTATCCGGCGGAAATTCACAAACATCCTGGAATCTTACTACCCGGTGGCGGTGGTCCCTGTCTGATTGGTGATGGTGGTGAAGCAGCTGGTGTGTGCAAAGGAGGAGGCGAGATAGTTGAGAGTCTTGTTCCAGTGCTTCAGAGGAGCACTTGGTGGGTCTTCCATCCTAGGCTTTCCACATTCAACAGGAGGCATAGGCAGCTGTAGGAGTCACTGGGTCTAGGCCCTCCATTGCAGCAGAATCACTCACACCCTCACAGTTGCCCAGAAGTGAAGCTGTCGTCTTAAAGTACTGAAAAGAGAGAGCAAATTTACTTCGGTGAAAGAATACTCAAGATAAACCTCAGCATCCTTATCCTATAGAAATTCATCTATTTCTAAATATCTGGTTTTCCAATATCCTTCCTAAGTAAAGTGTCACAGTGTGCCATCATGACATGTTTTGCAAGCAAATATTTTATATATTTTCTCATGTAGTGTTGCCTCCGTATTTTGTAATAAGATAAGTGCAAATGAAACTATGTTTAACTGAGACTTTTTTGTTGTTGATCTGAACTTGGCATTTGTCTACACCCACTTGTATTCAGCGTTGTGTAAGATTAGTAACGTTAGCTAAAAATCAGTTTGGGGGGGGGGGGGGGGGGGGGGCACTGAAAGCAAAAGCCAACACAGCAAATGTGGCAATGCAAGCCAGACCATAATGGAGGGGTTTAAGGTGCAGACCAACTGAAATCGCTGAGAGTCATGGAAAGCATTCGGACACAATGGACAGTGTCAGAATACCTTGGCAGCACAATACGGGACGAGAATAGCCTGCTTCCGGCTGGGCCTGGGCTGAAACCAAGGGGGGATCATGATGGGACTGTGGCCTGGGACTCCCGCCGCACTCCGAGAGCTTTTTAAACATCATTGGATGGCCTGTGCCTAATGGGGTCACTGGCTCGAAATGGCTCTCTTTTCTCTCTGCCCGATAATGACAAACTCTGCTTCACCTCTGGTTCACCTCAGCTTCATGCTCTTATATGGAAACACTTACTGTTACACCCAATTATTTCTTATATAGTACACTTTACCAAATACAGCATAATATGGTATATGTGCTTAAAAGTGAAAAAAATTAACTCTTCAAGACTGAATGCTTCAGTATTGTTTGTGATCCACATATTTAAAAAATTTATTTCACAAAATTCAGAGAGTTTAAAATTCCAATTCTTGATTTATTTCTATGCTTTTCTGTCCATTTCTAAAATGCTGTTTGACCAGTTGTTAAATGAAGGTGGAGCATGTTTTAACCAGTTCCTTTAACCAGTCTGTTTCATGGCTGCAATTCTAAGTATGCTGTACAGGTATAAGTCTTTTTCTAATGAGTGACTTCAGATGGTGGTATACAGAACATAATACATTTTGGTTCAAGTGCCTGTTTGATTTGGAACATTTTTATGATAGAGGTTATAATTAGTTGCCCAGACATTTTTAGTAATGGGCAAAACACATGTGAACAATTTAACTGTCTGGTTTACTGAATATTGTAAATTTTGATTGTATTTTTGGCTTGATAAAGAATCTTGTGTATATTTTCCATGAGTATTCCCTCTAATACATAGAATTTGTTGCTTTATGCATTGTTTTATACTTTGTTTCTCTGTTGTCCTCTTTTAACTGCCGACCTAGTTTTAAGTTTCACTTTTACCTGATTGTGTGTTGTGTTTTAATGTTGTTATCTTCTATTCAATTCAAGTTCATTTATATAGCACCAATTCAAGCAATTTGAGCAAGCACTTGGCGAAAAAGAAAAACTACGTTTTAACAGGTAGAAACAAGTATTTTATATATTTTTGAAAGGGTATTCCTGGTGTCCATGTTAGTATTTTTTAAATCATAAAGCTTGTTAAGAGTGCTGCTCTTTGTTACCTTCTTTCTTTTGGAAATTGTTGATATAGTTTCTAAGTTAAGCTTAGTTTCTAAGCTAAACCAAATCTATTTATTATGGCTTTGAAGGAATTATCATCATTCTTAGTATTTGTGATTTTGATGACCAAACTTTTTACACATTATCCATTTTGTTTGGTTTAAATTTAGCATGCCATTTCTCTGAGATAAATTAATTTGTTGTTTATGTAATGTTAAATTTCCAGTTATATAGAGTGTTATTAGTGTATCTGTTCAGCCATTTAAATTGTGCAGTATCTTTATCTTTAAAGATTAATGGCTTTATTTAAAATGGTGCCAGCTCTGTCTTTAGTCCATTTCATTATGATACTTAGTTGTGTGGCATGAAAATAATTCTGTCAGTCTGGGAGTGTTAATCCACCATGTTCTTTAGAGTTTATTAATGTTTAAAGTTTGGCCCTTTTCATTTTATTATCCAAGATAAAATTAATTATCTTTCCGTTCCATCTTTTAAAACTTTGTGGAGGAATTGAAATTGTGCAAGAGGAATTGTGAGGACCATCATTTCAATTGTTTCTACTCTAAAGATAGAGTCAGATTGTTTTCAGTTCCTGTTTATTTTTTTCTCTAGATTCTGATAATAAACCTCATAGATTTGGCATAAATCAGTATGGATTATAATTAATTTTATTGTAAATTAATTTTTTTATTTATTTAGTTGGTTCCACTTAAATCTGAGCTTTTTAGAATAATCTGTTTGTTGTTCACCTATAGGCTACATATAGACTAATTGTTTATCCTGAATGATCACTATTCCTTTATACTTTTGATTGTCTCTAAAAGTGGAAGCTATAAAATTACGTCATCCGCATATAGTGTTAATTTATGACACTACACAGCCTACTAAAATATTGCATTAAAAATGCAGTCAACAACAACATGTGTCTCTAGAAACAACGTCCCTGTTATTCTAGATAATCCACAGAACACGTTGCTAACAGTTTTCGTGGGGAATTTTTCTTCTTCACAATGGACAATGAAAATTGTCCACAGCGAGTAAAGCAGACATTGTTTCTGTAAACATATGTTGCTGATTTTTTATACATCATTTTTCAAAGCTTTAAGCAGCACAGGTTCCACTCTCCTCCACTGTATCGTGGTGTTGGCAGAAATCTTAGAGACAGATATCCCAAAACTTTCTGCATACCACTTAAAGTAGGCCTACATTTGGGTGAACTGGCCCTTTAAGGACGAGGTACGCCCAGCTGTCCCTGCCTATAACATTTCTCTTTTTTTGCCTGCTGCCTTTATGATTACATATAGGGGAGACCGGGTATGGTTGTAACCCTTTTTGTTTCAGGAACTATAACTTTTTTTAGCTAGAGTCAAACTTTTATACAAAGCACCCAAATTTGTTCACTACAAAATGCACTAATTAAATCCTCTAGAAGAATCTCACAGACATGAGTTGATGTCAAATACATGGTGTTCCTTTGTTATGACCTACCCCAATACCATGGTAAGTTGTAACACATGCTGGGGTAAGTTGTAACAATTAGACAAAAAAAGCAAAAATGGATGCCAGACCATATGATGCACTTCAAAAACAGGTATAGTGACATAAAAGAACAATGTTTCTCTCTCTCCGTAACAGACTATGTCTGATCGAGTCGCTTGCATGTGTGTATGTAGCCTACATTTGTCTACTAGAACAAACTTACTTGACAGTATAATATATGTACACTTTAAACATTTCTACAATGTACCTAATTAAAGAAAATCTTTTTACATCTTTTGGTCTAACAAAGCAAAACATCTGTGTGTGTGTCTGAGTGTCAGTGTGTACATATTCTTAATGAGAGTCACAGTCAGTGCCGGGCCGGTACTTATCGGTATGCAGTAACATTTTACTCTTTAGCGTACTGGGAATTTTTCCTCATGCATTGGCACTTCTCACAAGCTGCCCGTACTCTTTTATGCCATCTCCATCGACGGAGACTGAGTAGGGAAAGGATTCGGGGCCCAATAACATGTGAATAGGGAGTACTGGTCTTAGTGCTGAAAAATGAATGCTGGTAACCCTGGAGTGCAGGCTGAGTGAGCTCAGAGACTGCATAGGGCGCTCTGTAAAAATATTACAATCAAGAAAGTCCTTAGTTGTATGTATGGGGGATGGTTGTAACAATTTTAAAAGAAGTGTTACAATTAAATTAGCAGGGGAAAAATGCATCACACGTTGCCTAAGAAACTAAAATTCAATCTAAGTCATACAATTGTATAGATACTAAACAAAATATAGTCTAGGTCCAAAAATTTTTCTCTCTATAAATTCTGAATGCACTCGTTTCCGGCCATGACAAACACCACAACTGACCAGGGAGGACGTAGGTAAATACCAAATGATTACATGACTTCTATCTTATGGTGGTGTTACAACTCTCCCCATGTTACAACCATACCAGGTCTCCACTACCTACACATATGTATCAGATTATTCTACAGAAGAAGTTAAATATTACCCATTATTTAGGCTACTCAGTGACCACTGTTACACTTCAAATTCAAATTAGCTTTATTGGCATGAATGTATAGCAACAATATTGCCAAAGCTATATATAAAGTACTTAATAATTATGGAGGAATTGCTAACGCCCCATAGACTATGCACAATGCATTTGGGCTATGGACTACGTGAGAACAGGCTGTTTCATTTGCACAGTAAAAAAAATCCCAAACAAACACAATAGATAGCAAACTGAATTGTACGAGTCATCAGTTCAGTCAACAATGCGTCTTGGCTTAATTAATAAGACTTTTTATCAGCCCTTTTTATTGTGTGCTGGTCCTATTTTTACAAAATGTTCCTCGCAGTTAGATGTTTTGTGTGTGGCCTATGCGTTTCTGTGGTCTAATAATTGCTGATGTGTACACGTAGCTGCTTAGAATGGATGAATAGATTTAAAAACACGGATTAACCATCTGGGCCTGTAAAACAGGTTGTTCTACCGTCACTCTGGGATAGACTGGCCTACGGAGCAGGCAAGAGCGCATGCTGATCCGTACCGCTCAAACTCAGCTAAAGCAAGCGCTGTGGACGTGAAACACGCCACGAGCATATTTCCAAAGCCACCGATCGTATAAATCCATTTGAAACACACCTAGATGGGAGGGAAGGAAAATCACACTCGGGCTGGTAACTCCAACAACTCACCGGCAAAAGACAGCCCTTCCTCCTCTCTGCTTGATGTGAACTTTTCCTTCAGGTGGCAGGAGGTCAAGCGCGTGCCAGGAGCAGGCATCAACCCCACATTAAACAATCAAACCCTCACGTGTGTCTGAGTGAGAATATCTGTTTTTTCCCCCCCTCTCCTGATCCTTTCCTCTGAGTCTCTAGTGTTGCTTGTAAATGTGCGTGTGACCTGGTTCTTCTTTCTCTCTCCCTCCTCTTTCGGGCGTGGGGGTGGCCTGCGCTCAACAGGCAGAGAGAGAAGAAAGGTAGGCCAATGATGAGAGGAAGGCCAGCCCTCTGTGCCTCATCCTTGTTCTCTGAATGACATTTTAAGATTTAGATTGTATGTCAATAGCATGTAAGCAAGGCAGCTAGTTTTGTTTTTTTTATAACATATACGTCGGGTCAATCTTTTCCACAAAACAAGGCAATGTTTTTTGTGAGTGTTAATTCTTTCTCATTGTCTCACAAAAACTCAATGTCTGACTCTCCCTCAATGAAAAATGAAAATGGGAAGAATTAAGCCCCCACTCTCCCCCTGAGCAGGGGCGAGTTCAATCTCAAAACGTTTTGCAACGTTTCTCAACTGCTTTCTCCCGTTTGGTGGGCGTGTCACACGTGCTTGACTGATTCCGGTGACATAGTTGGTAAGTCTTTCTCTCTGTTGGCAAATTAAATTGTGTGTACACAAGGAGCTAAAAGATTTCCAACTAAGTTTACCTGACGGCTCTAATGGTAACTGCTGATAAATGCCAACCGACGTCTTCTGTTTCTAGGAACTCCAGGCCATCAAATCTGTCTGACCAGGTAAAGACTGACTGACATGGTCGCAGGGGTCCATGATTTTAATATACTGCTGAATGAATATTTTTGAATTTAGCATTTTCACAGTGTTCTCATAGCCATTAGCCAATAACATTTGTTGTGAACAGTAGTGGTTTGTGTTGTATTGAAGTTGTTTTGCACTTTACGTGGGTAGTTTTTCATACTGTGCATAATTGTTATCTTAATGTAGATAATGCTTTAAAAAATAAATATAAAATCTATCTAATATTTTGTAGAATATTTTATCTTTCTGCTACATCAAGAGTGGATGTTTTAATATTGAAGGTTTGGAGCCGCCTCTGTATTTGGGATAAACACAGGAAATCCCTTTTAAAAGTTTTCAGCATTAAGCTACCAGACAAAAACAAAGTAGAAGTCAAAAGTGCTGTCAGTCAGTTTTACTATGAGTGTTTCAGTGAGTGTAACAAGCAATAAAATTACTGTGGTCCATTATGTTGCTAGAGGTCCAGATACAGTGCACAAGGGTTATAATAATTATATTGCTGGGTCTCAGGAATAAATAGAGATTTGAATATCTCTGTTTGTTAAGATGAAATTCAAGAGATTCAAAGCATGCTCAATACTTTCTCTACTTTGAATGTCCTGGTTTGTAATGGATCTCTGTGCCGTAGCTGTCAAAGAATGGAGATGCTATAAACTCAGAAACTGTTGAATGGCGCATCAGTGCTGCTCTCTTCTCTCAGATTACCTGAAAATGCTGCCCACAAAAAGCTGCAATGCAAATATGTGGGCACTGAGCTACTACAGTATTCATACAGTATGTCATGTAGGAAAAATTGCTCCGGTATTGTCGGAGAATTACTAAGCTTGTCCATTAAACAGGAGAGGCATCACTTATTTTATTTTCGTTGGCCAACTTTTGAATTGAACCTCAAACTAAGTATTTTTGGTTTGCTTACTGGGATATAGAAAGATGGAGTCCTAGGAGATTTGAACTGAGATAAGGACTCATTAATTGGTGGTTGAACTTTGGGTTAGTAAAATGTGATGCTTCTTCTCCACCATTGCTCATAATAATAATTCATGCATCACTTAATTTCATCATAGCATACTATACACTGATTCACTGTTTGTCCATTTTGAATAATACAGAAGGTAAAGAGCTTAAAAATTAATTGCATTTTAAATTGCAATCGCAATATTGAAAAAAAAATTGCAATTAGATTATTTTCCAAAATTGTTCAGCCCTAGTATCCAATCTTTTTTATAATGCTTTATTTTATGAATCCTGTAATTGCCCCAATCCTTTCCTAGTATGTTTCCTGAAGGAATTACCTAACTTGGTACTAATTATAGGAAAAACGGAGAGATGTTTAGTTATTTATTTTTTAGTTTTTAAGAAAGAACCAGGAAATTATATAACATTGTCCTTTGGTTGACCATTTTGATCAACAACTACAAGATTGGTTGACATGTCATTTTGTACTCCCATTAATGCACTCACAATGACTCCTAATAACTTTGGTGATCCCAATTTTTTATTTTTTTTATCTAGCGCCTCCATGAGGTTCACAATAATGTTTTTTTTTTATTGTTTGTTTTTGTGAAATGTTGGAACACTAATATATTGATTTCTAGACATTTATGGTTCCCAGATGATGTATCCTGATGATGATTTTCCACTAGCGGTTGACATTTGTGGTTTTAAGTGAAATGTCTCAGCAACTTTTTGGATGTATTACCATGATCCAATTAAGAATATACAGCTACATATCCTTTCCAGGACATTTTAGACTATTATGGGACTTACAAATAAGGTATTGATGTTTATTCATGATTAATTAGTTTTGTCACTTTAAGACATTTTTGCATATCAACTGGATATTTTCCAAAGTTAGTATGAGAGTATGAAATTCCTTCTTTGAGTTCCCCCAGGCTGTGTTTACTCGCTGAGCTGCGGCATAGTAAAATTATTAGTACTAAGACAAACCTGAGTTGTTAACATCTGGTTAAACTTTAAAAATATTTTCTGTCATTCTTGATATCTTTTCTTATCAGGTGGTTTATACACTCTAAAACAATGGTTTGGCCTAGTGCAGATACAACATGAATATTAAATATAAAAATAAAAGGTTCACTACTCACCAGAGGATGAATTGTTTGTCTCTTTTACATAATGAAAAAGCAAATGTGTTTTGTCTTTTACTTACTTTGTTCCTTTTATGTCATGGCAGAGCTACCACCATTTGTGCATGAATGGCAACCAAGATGTAAAACCTCGCAGAAAGTACACAAAAGATGTGTACTACTCTTCAACTTCTTTACAAATGGTTGTATCAGGAGACAATGAACCTCCTATATGTTTTGATCACAAACATGCAAACACCGATGTAATCAAAGAAAAAGTAGTGCAGTATGTGCATGAGTCAGTAATGACACCACAGAACTTTTTCAGGAGCTCAAAGGAGTATAGAGTCACAGTCCCGCTTCTGCTTCTCTTTTCACTGGTCACACTTGTCTTTCACGGTCAGCTTTGTGGTTATGCTGCAAAGCCCTCTCATTTGCACTGCCTGAATTTTTGTTTGCAGTTCTGACACAGACCTCTTGCACCAGGGAGTTGGGGGCACAGACACCCTAAACACGTAAACTTTAATGGATGAAATGTTCAAATGCTTAAATGTTAATACTCGTGTGGGGCTAGATTAACAGTCATAGCATCAGCAAAGTCTGCAGGCTTCATACTCTAAGGAACATAAATGCCTGTGCAAAATTTCACAACAAGCCATCCAACATTTCTTGAGCTATCTGAAGTGTTGCCAGCTTAGCTTAAAAATGAAAGTTTGTCCTGATGTGTATGCATGTCAGCAAACACGTATGTTGACATTCTGCATGACAGAACGCACAGGTTATACTGGAATAGTGATAAAGAAGCAGTGTGGAAATTAAAAGCCAACACGTTGCTATTATCAAAATAGATTTTATTCTAGACCTTGAAATCTGTGTAATATTACAACAGTCAGATCAGGAGGCTGCGGACTGCAACCATGTGAGTGAGAGAGAAAAGAGAGTACAACATAGGTGAGGGCAAAGACAACACAACAAAAAAACATGTATCTGCAAATTGTTATTTACATGTTCCGTGTTATAATACATCAACAATTAAATCCAGATTTTGTATTTTTTGTTCATTTTGTGTATGTAGCTAGAAATAAATCAGAATTACAAAAGTTTTGAGAAGTACAAAACCTTCAAGGGCTCGCCAACATAGCAAAGATAGAATCAACGTTAGTACTTTTGGTAGGAGAAAAAAATAGCCAACACTTGAATGCAGTGTAAAAAGCTTATCATCTAAAAACAAGACATTATAAAATACCATTCCACTGTCATAGACATCATTTGAAATAGTGTCTTTGTGGTACAGTCCAATCACTGCTGACTGTATTAAAGCAAACTTCAAAATAGTTTTTAGCTTCAGTACAAAATTTTTTAAAACAAGAGACATTCTGAACAAAACCTCTGAAATGGTCCGACAACAACGTGTGTGTGTGTGTGTGTGTGTGTGTGTGTGTGAAGCTGTTAAGTTATGGCTATGAGATGAGACCTGGAATGCCATGAAGTTGGCTTGGTTCGACTTTGACGCACCCCGAGGAGTCAGACAAGACGCTTTTCATCCTTATCTAAACCACTAGAATGCTGCACTTTCTGCATCAATTCAGATTCATCATTAAGAGCATTTTAAACATTGTGATGTGTCTACAGTGGCTGGAATAAACACACATCCCAGTTTCTCCATTTTTAGTCTAAAGTGCAGGAGAAGGACAAAAAAACACCCTTCAAAAGGACTGCCCTTTTTATTTTGCTATGACTGTTTAATGGTATTTTATAAAAACCCATTGCTCATGCTCACAACCCTGGTGATGCAGAAGAACATCACACGCTGTATTTCAAGCATCTTAAAAAAGTAACTTTAAAATCCACCCGTAGCGTATGAGTGGCATACAAAAGAATCTCCTGTGATAGCACAGATATATATATCTATATAGATATATCTATATCTATATATTATATGCAGATACCAAGTTACATCAAGTCATATGCTGCAAGACTGCTTTATTACAAGAAGCACAGACTTTCCTCAAAATGGCAACTCTGAACACTACAAACAAAAGCGCCATCAATCCGTGCATAGGCCTGAACACAGCCCGTCTCCAGAGTGTGTGTGTGTGTGTGTGTGTGTGTGTGTGTGTGTGTGTGTGTGTGTGTGTGTGTGTGTGTGTTAATGCTCGGCAACGACTGCCTGACAACAGCAATCCAAAGCAGCGACTGTCGTGTGTACTTCGGTCACCACTGGAGATGAAAGCCACACACGTTAGTGAAAGTCTGGAGGTTTTTAAACAGACTGCCAAACCTGCCAAACTGTGATATGAACTCCAATATCGTCAATTAGCCATTTCGGCTTTGACGTGATGCTAATATTGAGCCATGATTAAAAAGGTGCAATCAAAGACCCTGCGCCTGCAGTGGAAGTGATACTCCAGATGTCCTGCTGTTTAATGAGCAAGCAGGGGAAGGAGGACACAATAAGCAGGTGAACACTTAGTCTGATTATCATTAAGCAATGGTTAGAAACAAGCCATTAATTGAGGAACCAAGCACAATATGACTGGTAATTGCAGTTTTGGGCCCGTTTTCCTATCTCTCTCTCTCTTTCCCCTACAGATCCCAGAAGCTGCATTGACACTATAAAACAAGTTATTCCAGTGCCAACGTTACCTCACAACTGACACTAAAGCACAACCGTCTATTCGTAAGCTTGAGACACAGATAGAGCGAGCTCGGTGACGGAAACCTGAAGCCGATCAGTGTCGATGCCTTTCTGCCCAGTGCGCTGTTAGAACATGAGATCCGCTTGTTGTTTACCAGCTACAAAGATTATCTTTCAACCTAGAGGTTTTGAATTTTCAGAGCTCTATATTATTAACCTGATGAATTGGGAACCCCTGAAAACTATTTTTGAGGATAAGAGTTGCAAAACCAAAGGACAGTTCAGCCTTTGATTAACTGTTTTATACTTTGTTTTTTTTTTTAAATGTAACAAACCTATTGGATAAAATGAGCTGACAAATACCTAAATGATTTAATCTTCTAAGCTATGCATCTGCATTTGTGAACCTTGAGTGCCAAGAAGTGGATGAACAGATCTCCCAATGAACAGCCACTGTAAAAGACAAACACCCCCTGCCCCCTCTCTCTTCTCTCCCACCCAACATGTAATATAAAACCTACAGAGATCAGTGAAATCCAAATTCAAACAATGTCCACAGGACACCAAATGCTGACATATGCAATATGCACACACCAACAGAAAACAAAAATCTTCATAATTCTGGTACATAGGATAAAAAGAGGAAAGCAAGAAGAATCCTGGTGTTTTGGTTTGCATGTGATGGGTCCAACAAGTTTATACTGTATGAAAACAGAAATGTTTCTTCCTGCAGATCTGTGAGCAACACGTCCATACAGACCTGTTGTAAGTCTGACACATGCGTAAGAACTGCGTGTGGTGAAGATATGGTCCTTTCGTGTACATTTTGGGAGGGTGGGGGCTCCATTTGACTGTAACGGCGGGCCATGGCATCTGATGGGACTACAGCAGGACAGGCAGGGACAGTCAGTCATTTTGGCTATGTACACATTCGTAGTCGGTCCATGGCTCCCCCACATGAGGGTCATTTTCTCAGGTCTAATACACAAACCTGTAACAACAGGAAGAAGCAGACCGTTAGATGCAAGTTTCAGTCTCTGCCACATCATAGAGCAAGAACGGCTCGAGGGGAGGAGAGACCCTGCAGTGTGTTTATTTTACAGACAGCCGCCAAAACGGTTCTGTAGAGCCCCAATTCACAAACTGATTTGCGGCTGTGCACATTTCGTCCATGACTTCAAATTGTTGAGTATTTGAATGTATTTTGCATCATATTCACTGTAGCACCACAAACAAAAATGTTTAAAGGTGGGGTAGGCAACATTGGAGAAACCAGCAAGAGACACTAGATTTTGAAAGTATACAACAGAAAAAATCCCACAAACTTCGTGGGTCAGCAGTTTGGTGTGGAAGTTGTAAATAGAAGTCAAAATGTGTGTGAGTGGCTTCTACGGTCAGTAGGGATTATAATGTGTGTGACAAAGCGCTCATGCAGCACAACTCACCGATCCATCTGACGCGCTAGCTCCTACTTTGTCTCCTGTAGCGTTCCAGCACACCTCAAAGATCCCTCCTGTCCCCCGGTAGCTGTGGACTAAAGCACCCGTCTGAAGAAACACACACACATTAGCAATGGTAGGCAACATCTTTATCCTCTGTATTTATGCCACCTTTGTAATGTCTATAATAAAATGTCTAACGTTTATTACTGAGTGTGTAGGGATGGGGATCGAGACCCGGTTCCACAAGGACCCGGTTCCAAAATTTCTCAAAACCCGAAAATCGGTTCGAGCTTATCGATACTGCTATTGAGACTTGCAGGTCCTATGACGTAATGTTATGTCTCGAGCGTAAATTCGGTTTTATTTTGCAACACAATGAATAAGAAAATCATCAGGCTGCAGCCTCTGTCGGCTCCCACACGCCCACAGCGGCAGCAGAGCGAGAGGCTGTGCCATCGCGGTGGAATACAGTGAGGGTTAATCTCCAAACTACTGTAACGTTAGTTGATGACAGCTACGCTCGTTACTGTAAGTACGTGCAATAAAACCTTCGCAAGTAAAAAGACAATACTTTATCAATTCACCTGTCTGTAAGGTAACGTTAAACATGTAGAAATGGTTAATTTAATCATCTCTGTCTTCAGTATCTAACGCTAGCTTGGCATTAGCCAAATGTTAAAAACAAGCTAAATAGAAAGCTGTCTGTCTGGAGCACAGACTGGTCTGTAGTCTTAAAAACTCAGCTGCTGGCTGAGACAAACCAGCTGCTCCTTCTTCTACCTGGTAACGTCACCTGCAGCCAGCGAGAGAGGAAGACTGATACAGACTGATGTTATTCTTTCTGAACGTCACTCACTACTTGTGATGTCAGATAAAGTTATTGAGTTACTTTGCTGTTGTAAACATTAATGTTGCTGCTCTAGAAACAACATTTAGCTGTATTTAAAATATTACATTGAAAACAACCAGGCAGTTAATATGTACACTTTAATATATGTTTATTTATTGCAAGTGATATGTCATCTCAATATATAACGTTATCGCACATTGAATATTTTCCTCATATTGTGCAGGCCTATCTCATGCCCGCTGGGTCTGGTCTTACCAAATAAATCATCACTAAATAATAGTAAAGTATCGATAGTGGTATCAATAAAGAATCGTATTGTTAAGCAGTCTCAATAAGGGTATCAATATCAATAAAAATTAACGATCCCCATCCCTATGAGTGTGTGGTTATAATCGTCAAGTATTATCCCAGACCTGAGTGTTCCAGATGTGGACACACTTGTCGAAGGAGCCGCTGGCGAGGTGCCTGCCATCAGGGCTGAAGGCCACGCTGTAGACGGGCTCCTGGTGGCGGGTCAATGTGTGGATACACACGCCGCGCTCCACGTCCCACAGACGCACTGTAGAATCAAATGATGCGCTGGAGAAGGGGAACATAAAGTGAGCCAAGTGTCCAAGTCATGTGGCAAAAAGAATTACTGCCATTAAACACACCCGTGAGATACTGTATGTCAACAGGACATGACAGCTCTCATTAAAGAGACAGTAAGTGGTTGTAATCCAATACACTGTTAAATTCAACAAACACTTCCTCAGTTTACTAGCTCTCCTTTTTGTATGGGGGAAAAAAACTTTTTTCTACACAGCCCTGGCTCTGTAAATGGAAAACAAAGAAAGTGCTGTGAACCTTGCCGCACAACATTGTTCCAGCCAATCAGCAACATTTAGTGCTCGTGCACAGGAGTGATGTGGGGAGGGGTGCAGTGGGAAAAACAGTTTTATACACCTAATGTGCTGCAGGACTCCAGTCACTGTGAAGAAATAAAGATGGCTGAGAAACAGCCAAAGAGGAAAAGATCTGAAGAGTATAAACAGAGAAGAAAACTATATGACCAGGCAAGGCCGAAGGAGTTGGAGGAAACGCTGGAGAAACCTCAGAGATTTGAATTATGGAGGGCGGCGCTTCTGAGGGAGCGCTGAAGCGAGGGGTGTATTTGTTTAGCAGTTGAGTTCAAATATCAGCAATCCTTCAGTATAATCATTTACCTTCCTAAATTCCTAATTATCTTTAAAAGGAAATAATCTAATTAATCACTTGACTATGAATGAATCTATTTCCCCAATCTGAATTAACAGTGTTTCCCCTAGGATGGAGTTGTAGCAGAGGAGTTGTAGCATCTCTCTGAACAAATAGTTGGAAAGGCTAGAGCAGATAATAAATAAACAACACCCAAAGATCAGTCTACTGGGAAAGAACTACAACCATTAAGTAATTTGGTTGGTTATGATGCTCTCCACAGGGATTTTAGATTTATGGCACAGCCTACTTAGGGGGCATAACCCCCTAAAACCCTGTTAATATGACCTCAGAATCATTATAGATACAATTGTTCATATTTGCATTTTGTGTCTTTATTTTAAAGATTTTGACATTTATCTGTATAGACATTAATATAAAAAAATAGGCAACATGAGAAACGACCTCCCTTCTGAGGTGCATTTTATTCGCATCCTCATTAGCTTAAAAGGAGTAGTTTGCATCACTAATTTGCTCCGGTCACCACCGTCCTTTCTTTTCCTAACAACCACATTTTCAGACTCATCTGAAAACTGAAAAATGATTAAGGATGTACCTGTCTGTAGGCTACAGGACAAAGCTGTAGGATACATCAGTTTAGTCTAAGTTAGTACCTGATTTTCTACCAGCTACCAGTTACTTTCTATAAATTGACTAAAGTTACATGGCAGCCAAAGGTTGTAGCCTTCTGTATAAGCTTTCCTGCTCAGCTGTGCAAGGGGAGGGGAGATGTTAGCTAGCGCAAACAGGGTTGAGCCTAGGGTGGGGTAATGTCGGCAAAATTGCAATCAGCCAACGGTATATTTTTAAGACCTTTTTAAGACCACTATGAATGAAATTTAAGACCTATATCAAAACATCAAAAAAAGAAACATACAAGGAAATGCAGTCACAAAAATACTTGCAGAGTAAATAAATGTATTCAAATAAGGATCGAGTGATGTTTACAAAATTGGCATTGGACAATGTCAACAATGAAACACTGGGATGGACGATGACATTGATAAGCTAAATTATTAACAAGCTGGGATGAGGTGCACCTGCTGCCGTGAAAAAGGATCACGGGTGGAAATATCCAGTATCGAGATCTGTGTCTTTACGGTGACTTTATAAAACATAACCTGCTGCTGATGGAGAAACTCAGGGGAGCAGTCAGGGAGACAGAGAGAGGTGGGGAAAGCCAGTGTGTTTGCAGTGAGAGACCAGAGGTAAAGGGGTGTGTGTGAGTGCAGGTAGAAGTCGAGGCAGGTGCAAAGCAGGTACATTTACAAATAATAGAAATGATGTCCATGAGGATTAAAACATGCTTTCACAGGGTGATATAATGTAAAAAATTAAGATGGTATTTTTATGTTGGGGGTTTGGTGGTCATCCCCCAAGAAAATTTTTATGTTTTCCAATCAAGAAATATGCAATTCCACATAATTTAATAACATTGTTATTACCACATCTGTGAATGTGAAGTAGGAAAATCAGGCGCAGATTTTAATAAAGTACACCTCAAAAGCTAAACTTGCTAAATAAGTCTACTGGATTTGAATTATAACCGTTACATCTGGGAAAATTCATGTGGTTAGTTTGCTCTCCACAATGATTTTACATTCATGGCACAGCACCAAGCTGTTTTGAGCCTCACCACCTTGTAATGGCAGGAAAACACTATTAACATGACCTCAGAGTTATTACAGATAGGACTGTTCATGTTTGCCTTTTTGTGTCTTAATTCACTGCTTTATTTATTTTAGAAATTAAGATAAAAATAGGCAACATAAGAACCACCTCCCTTCTGTATAATTACAAGCATTTCATTTGTACATTAAAATCCAAAAGAGTAATCTCCTCATTAGCTTAGAAGGACTAGTTAGCATTCCTCATTTGCTTTAACGTTACTAACCTCAGCTCCTTCGTGGTCACCACCGTCCCGTCTTTTTCATTTAATTTAATCATCAAGATGTACAGTACAGAGCCGTACTCTAACAACTTTATGTTGCTCTTATCCTTCGCTCATTCTTTGAAGAATGAGGAGGGAGACAGCCATGCGTTGAGTGTTACCGTAGCTTACTGAAAATCATTAATAATCGTGTGAAATCTTTGTTGCGGCGCTCATTAAGTAGCAACAGTAGGCTTCAGATAAGTTGGTAGCGACTGGTTTTAAACAAGCCCTAAGCTCTGTTTCTCTCAGGCAAGAGTCGCTAAGAATAAATCCATTTTATACCTGTGGTACAATCAAAAAGAGACTCACGGCAATAACACGACAACTGCATGGTGGTCAACACCACAGGAGGAAAAAACATTCTAAAGTGCTGTGGGAGCATTTCAATGAGCATTAGAGGTAGCGTTACATGGACGTTGAAAAATTAAAAACGGTTCAAAATTATTTAAGACCTAGAACACAAACTTAAGCGAATTTAAGACTTTTCAAGGCCTTAAATTTTGATTTTGAAATTTAAGACTTTAAGACTTTTTAAGACCCCATGGAAACCCTGATTTAAGTATCCTGATATCTCCTTGTATTAAAGGGAAAATATATTATTTACAAAGAAATTTTTTTTCTTCCACACACAGTATTTGTGTCATCTTACCTCTATAACTACAAAACTACCCTATAGCATATTAAGTCCAATGACACAAGCAGAGTGAGGGTGGTGTTCAGGTGCTGCTTTGTGGTCTCACCTGGCCAGCATGAGGTTGGCGTTAGGGTTGTTGGTCCCGGGGCCTGTGGGGCTCCACTTGATGGTGTAGATTTCTTTACTGTGGGCCTGGAGGTCATGGACACACAAGTCCTGCTTCATACTCCAGATCTATACCAGAAAGGAAGAGGCCTGCTGTTAGTATGGCTTTTATTGCGATGTGCATAGGCACATTCAATTGGGAATTTGTCTGATTAAGTGCTTCTTTTGAAGCCAGTTTTTACTTCTGTGTCGGGTCTAGGCCATGGCTGACAGTGTACGCTGTGTGCCTTTATTTATACCTGTGCATTGGTGCTTGCGTCGCTCTGCAAGTACGTCAAAACGCTTGTTAGTGCTAGGGTTTCTATGTTCCACTGTGTTCAGTTTCTTCTTCTTCGTTGGTGTAGGCTACTACAAACAATGGTGTCTGAAACTGAGCAGATCATGTTGGTGTTGGAGCTGATTGTTGTTGAACAGCAGTTACTTTTGGTGAAATTGCTAAACCAAATGAGTGAAGGCGTCGGAGGAGATGGTATGTACGACCTTGGAACTGGCTGAGGCAGAAGAAGGATAAGCCGAAAGTGCGTAGGAGGAAATGCGATGCTACCAAGCTGACCAATCACAGTTCTTACGGTCTGCGTCGCTGGGACGTGTAATTGCGTTGTTGGGGAGGTGTGCTTTAGTCTAGGGCATCAGCTACGTGTCGGCTATGGTGTACCTACAGCGTAGATTCTAAGCAGAAGTATAAACTGGCCTTTAGCCATTAAGTGATAAGCACTAACTCTGCATGTTCTGTCGACTGACCTTCAATGTCATGTCATCTGAGCAGGAGGCCAGCAAGCTGCCGGTGGGATCCCACTTGATGGCGTTCACCTCATTCTATAGTGAGTAAGATGAGTGTTAGAAAGTAAAATAAAAACAGCATATTTTACTGTAAATTACTTCTGTTATGTCAAGTGTATTTGGCCAGCAGAGGGTTTCCATTTCCCTCCGTCAGAAAGCAGCGCTCACACAGGAGTCTTGTCTTACCGTGTGTCCCTGGAAGGTCTTGACAGGTCTGTCCTGACCCAGCTTACACACATGGATGCACATATCTGTGCTGCAGGAGGCAAACGTGTTGTTGCTCTGCCAGTCTACGTCCAGAGCAGGTGCTGTTGGGAGTCAGAGACAGAGCTTATGCTGCTGCAGCAGTGAGGTATGTAGACATGAGGAGAAATGATAACATGAATATGGTGGTCTGAATATGAATTTCTAATAGCCACATATGATCAGATAATTATAAACATTACTCTAACTCAGCAGTTCTCAAACTGGGGGATATCAGGTCATGACAGAAAAAGTTTGAGAACCACTGCTCTAACTGCAGACAGTTGGTTTTAAAACAAAAACATGTTTTCTGCATATTCATTTAAGGGTAAACAAACCAAATAATGTCAAAAAGCAGAGACGTAAAGAGACGTTGGGTTCTATATGTAAGTCACAATGTGTGAAAGACGTCATGACAGAAAAAATATAAATATTTTATCACTAGGGCTGGTCCGAATGTCATTTTTTGGCTTCGAAGGTTTGATAGTAATTAAGAGCGAATAATCTACCTCTCTGTACCTGAGAGTCCAGAGTGAGAGAGTCTGATCTGAGCAGGTCCAGAGCAGAATCCGGGAATAGTTTAGCCAGATGGGGGTCCAGTGATAGCAGAAGGGATTTGAAAGTGCTCCCACACAGCTGAGGGTTTCATTTTGTTTTCTCTTTGATGTGAACTGGAGCGTTACGTTCACTGTTGTGTGCGGAGGTCAGGCGCGCGAAAAAAAATCTCGGAATTGAAAATCGAATGTGTACCCAACAATCCAATATTCGGGTCCAGCCCTATTTATCACTATGCTCTTACTGCAGCTCAGCAAATGGCAACATCTGACAAAAAACAAAAAGACAGTCATATGGGATAATCCAGCCAGCTCCTGTCACTCACCCGAGTGGAAAGGAAATTGTTGCTTTGCCTCTCCCGTGTGGGCATCCCAAATAATTGTGGTCTGTGTTAAGAAGGAGATTTTCATTATTCATGCTAAACTAATATCGTTTGTGTTTGGAAAGCAATTAACATAAAAATAAAAAAAAAAACATAGAAAAGGTGTTATTTGAAAAAAATACAGAAAGTCACACTCAGGTCAACTAAGTAATGTGAACATGTTGAGGTAATATGCAGTTAATACATCACAAACACGTGAGGTCTTTTTATACCTCCAAGACATCAGCACTTGGGCATTGTGATGTATGCTAAAGGTGACACTGTATGTCCTTATACTTTAATGCACTAGATGGCAGTGTTGAACCGTATTCAGAAATTGTTGTCATTTTGAGACAGGACAAGAGCATCTCAATCTGATTTTTGGTGGCATCATAAAGCAAACAAACTATTCACAGCTTATTATAGACTGTAGCCCTTTGATGTATTTCAGCTGTGTGAATTAAAAGCAGTAGTAACTTTTTTGGGCCACTTTAAGGGCCATAAAAACAAAACAATGAGTTGAAAGATGATAAATCAATCCATGCAGCTAAAGAGAAATGCAAAACATTAACATTATATGTAATATTGATGATTGCAACTTTAACATCCTAGAAAACTTTCATTCCTGGAAAACTACTTACCACTACAGTATGTGGTAAGGTGTTGTATACTGTACGGATTGTTAATCCCCTTGATGAAAACTGTGGTTTGTGACATTGGCCTACATAAATAACACTGACCTGACATTTAGGATCATCCCTCACTGTGTTACATCCCACCTCAACATCCAGTTTCAATGGGAAATATATCACATTTTAGTTATGGTAGCTATAAAGACTGAATAAAGAATAAGCTCTCAAGGTCACGCCAGATGCATTTACCAAACTTATTCAACTTAAAAAATAATAATAATAATAATTTAAAATCCAAAGCCAAAAATCAACGTGCCTTACCTTGTCTACACCAGCACTGAGGATGAAGTTTCCTTTCTTATTCCACTTCAGTGCAAATATAGGACCTTTATGCTGACCCAAAGTACTGGCCAGGTTACCTAAAAAAAAAATGCAACACAGCTTAGAAAGAGAGCAGGAACATTTTCTTGTCCATGCATCCTTGCAAAGGTATGATGTAGTACAAGGTAAGAATCTCACCGTCTTTTGTCCATATTCTAGCAAATCCATCATATGAGCCTGTTGCTAGCAAGGTTCCCTCACTCTGAAAGAAAGAGACGGTTCTCATTAGTTTCAAGTCAGTTGAATTTAATCATTCGTTTTATTTGCATATTCTGATTCAGGTAGAAGTGTGCCTGATTTAACAGGTTATATTCCACTTTGTTAATTAAACGAAGTTTTAAGAAGTAAGTAGTTAATGACCGATAAAATATTAGCGCTGATTTAGCGTTGCACGCTGACTTGTACTACACAGTGAAAAAATTGTTTGAAGCTGAGCAGCATAAAAAGGCTTTTTTTGAGTCGCAACGATATATCTGGTTGGAAGAAATGCCTTTAGCAAAAGTACTGTTCACAGCCACGCACACATACACACCCCACGAGATTAGATTACCAGAAACTGCACTCAGTGGAACAGACACACAATCATACTGTTCAATTACACACACACACACACACACACACACACACTCACATTCCAGTCTAGTGAGGTGACGTCTTTGTTGCTGGGCACGTCCTGGCCGCCTTCCCGTATGCAGTGCCTCAGAACCAGCTGGGTTGATCCGCCTGTGCTGTTCTCACTCAGGTTCCAGATCCGTGCTGTTGAGTCCCCAGACCTGCACGAGTCAATACACACATACGGACACACAGACAGACAATCAACAAACATTAGGCACCAACATAGCTTTGATTCTTTAAATCAGTACTGAAAATGGTATAAAACTGACCATCGTTGCGCTTGAGTAGGGTTGGGGTTTGAAAGCATTTTATCGAACCTGAACCCAGTATCAAATCCGAAATCTTTTTAAATCCCTATCAAACATTTTCACATCATCTGTTGAGGAAAAAGGAGAAAGAAATTTTACAAGCACAAAACTCATTAATTGTTATGGTTTGTGTGGATGTTTGACCTTCATACAGCCCCTCTTAAATTACGGGACCGTGCCAGAGGTAATTGCATTTTTCTTCATTTTCATTTAATTTTGAGGGGTATGACCATGCTCAGGAGCAAGCAAGACTGCTGAATATACAGTATATGTACCTAGTCCAATATGCGCCCCTGTTGGGTTCGCTACTTTTATAAACGAACACTAAATTGCTGCTGTAGGCAGGAGAAAGTTTAATGACATTTAAGAAAGACGACCAAATACTCTGTGCCTTGACTTAGATTTTTGTTTGCAAAATTAAATCACTTCTTCCTACTGACAAAGGCGTTGATCCATGTGCTGTGATGGAAATTAATTTAATGGATTAATTATGGCTATGGGTAAGGGCTTTTTTTTCTCTGTTAGACAAAACCAATCCTGACATGGGCGTCGATGGAGCAATGCACTAATTCATACTACACCTATTTCCAACACATTAATAACTTCCTTTAGTCCAGATCATCTACTGCTGGTTGGTCTGATAGAAAGTGACTTGGAAAGAGGGGGCCAGCTGGTGCATCTTGTCCAATAACATTCTTTCGGTCAGACTGCTTAGAAAGGTAGGGATCTTTCCTGAGCCATGTTCACAAACATACTGGGAAGCACAGGGGGAGATGTAAACGGTGGTTTCAATGACAGGCTTTGTTTGTTTTGGGAACTAATACAGTTTGACCCTCAAAATTAGGGCTGCACAATTTGGCCAAAAATGTTATCACGATAAAAAGTTTCATATCTTTCGATGTCTATAATTATCACAATAAGTATCAAATCGTTATTTATTTCGAGTTTAAAGGCTGATTTTTGCTCCTGAGTTAAAGTTGAAGAAACCTGATGGTTAATTGTGGTTTAAACTCTTCTTTATATTCAACACTTGAAGCCAAACAGTGGATCACTTCACAAATCTGAGGTAGAACATACAAAACATTTATGATAAAATCTTTGTCAACAAATATGCATGAGTAAAATTAAGTAAAAGCTTTTTTCAGTCCTTTTTCCTCAACAAAATAAACATCTTATTAAAACATTAAGTCCTAATTCGTGTATGATTCAAGTGAATAAAATCAAAAATTTATTGAACATTTATTATATATTGTTATTAAAAAAATATTGCGATAATTATTGTTGTTTTACTGTCCAGCCCTACTCAAAATTAAATGAGAATTCAGTGAAATGCAATAATTGTGTTTTTGCCTAATCAGCTAAGAGGTGCATAGTGTTCACAGAACCCAACCCTACTCTTGAGGCTGTCTGCCAAACAACAAGTAATGCAGACTGCTAAAGACGGTGAAACTGCAACAGACTTCTTGGTTTGACATGCGGCACTTCATGTCCGCCATTAATTAACCCAAGAATACAAGGCCATGCTCAACAACAGACCCCCCCCTCTTAGTCGACTGGTCCATCAGTAGGATCTTGGTTGACTAATAACTACTTAGTCAATGTGTTTTACTTCAGTAAAGCCTTCAGTCATTCATTGTTACTGGAATCTCCAGCCTCACAGTAATAATGTGAAAAATGCTTTGCTCTTTAATAAACACTTTGCACTCGTCCGGAGTTATAATGACACTGAAAAAACAATGACTTTAATCAACAAAGATTTGTTTACTGATTACAAGCATACTCTGCTCATATACCCAAGTTCATCTTTTTTTAACTCTATAACTGTTGTTATATTGAGAATTACCAATAAAAGATAAATTAAATTAGCTCATTGGAGGTCCATTTAGGTTAAGCAAGTAAACCTACTCTTGGCCACAAAACAAGACCAGAGGGACTGCTGTGCATTTTCAAAAAAAATGCATTACTCAACTGTCCCAGTAAGAACGACACTTTTCCATACTATTCTAGACGCTGCAAGACCAGTACAAGAGGGGTGTGGAGATACTGACCCGGAGGCGAGGAGGTCGTTCACTGGGTTCCAGGCACAGATAAACACTTCGGATTCGTGTCCCCTCAGGACCATGGCTTTACTCTGAGGGATCTCCACGTCCCTGTCCACCTCCATCATCTCTGAGTGGTGATCTACAGGAATGAGGGAGAAAACAAACCCTTTAACTAAAAGTTTACAGTATTCTTTAACTACTGCCCTAATGTTCTAAAGGTAAGGGGAATGCAACTGTTATTTGAATTTTCGAGGGTAATTATATATAAACAAGATGTGATGAATCACCGCTTCTAGTAAAATAGCCTATTACTTTTGAAATGAATAACCAGTGTCTGCCCTCACACAGGCTGAGGAAGAAGGTGAGAGCCAATCAAAAGTCTCTACAAGTAGAATGGTTTCTATGTTCCGCTATGTTGACTTCTGCCAATGAGCTGGCTAACTTCCAGTTTAGCTCGCCGCTAACTTCAATGGAGGTAAAATAATAATTGCGCGCCTCTTCTATACTTTCCAAATGTTATTGACCAAATTGATCAAATATTGATCAATGAAACAAGTCATGTGGGGGGTGTCAAAAGAAAGTTCCCACGGTTGTGTAGCCGATTGTTGGCCACTAGTAAAACTGGTTTCAAAGCATGGAACACTTCCTGGGAGCATGAAGGAAATGCGATGCTACCAACATGCACAATGAAAAATGTAGTTGCACCAGTGCAAGTAAATGGCGTGAACACTATCCTGAACAGCTGACAGCGGTGGAATTTAAGAGCAGGCTGTGCTGTTGCACAAAGTTATTGAGCCCATGTAAAACACAGCACATTGAGAGCTACGGTTGAGAACCCTTGAGAACCTGAATCTACCCCTCAGTAGCACTCACTAATTTGATTCAGATGGATGGTGTGTTATAACATGTTGGGAAGTTCTGAGCAAGAACAACCACACCACATATTTCCTTTGACGTTAAAACAAACCACCAATAGTATGCTAGGTGAAGGTGAGTGGAGACTGTGCTATACAGGCAGGACAAAATGAGGAAACACTTGTGCGTGTAAAGAAAACACCAGAGTAGCTTCTTGTAATGCCAAGCAAGCCACAAACATTTTACACAAAACAAAATCCCAAAGTTGTACTGCAGCTGTCATGAGAAAAGCAAACAGAGCGCACACATACACAAGAATAAACAAAGACGGTCAGTTTTAACTCCATGCAATTACACTGCACTACATCCAGGGTCCAAAATTAACTTTTTGGCTCATCTGGTTTGTTTTTAGTATGCAAATTCATCTTTAGTATCACTTTAAAGAGATAACATTGGATTTACTTTTATTCTGAACTTTATAATAAAAAAACAATTAATTACCTTCATGCCCTTAAACTTATACTGTTCTTACACTTCATCATCAGAGATGTATTTGTCTACCGTTCTCAAAACCCTGCTCACTACAATCACTATGCCGTGTGTGATGCAGGAGACAGAGGTGTAGGGGTGTGTGTGTGTGTGTGTGTGCCTGAAGGGAAAAGCAAGGTGAGCAGATTTAAGTAGTTTGTGAGGAAAGACTAAAACAAAGAGGGGAATCAAGCAGTATTAAAATGGGGAAGTAAGAAATAACCTAGTATAAATAGGATAATGTAGTCATTCTGTGGGAAACACTGCAGTGACATGTCAAATCCCAAACAGCTTACACAGCATCTTATAAACAGGACACTATTACGTCAAGACATTTAACTAAATAACATAAAACGTTTCTAGAATTTGTACGACCATTTGTTTTTCACCCGAGCGCTAGAAAACACATGTTAATGGGCAGATTCACAGATTGTTTACAACCATGAGCTAGCTTACTGGCTAAGGTGTGGGATCCGTTTTCCTCCCCGTTGGCAGCGCCCTCTCCGTTCTTGGTGCTTCCCTGGGGCCCTGTGCTGCTGCCACTGCCTGCCGCCGCCTGCTGCTGTTGGGCCAGCTTGTCCCTGTAGGCCTGCTGCCTGGTCTGGACAACATCTGGCATCACAGCATCGATCAAAGACAGCGACTCGATGGGCCGTCCGTCAAATAAGGTCCCGTCCTACGCAGGCAACATATATTCACTTTATCCTTCAGATTACCCAACAAATTCACTGCAATGCATGAACCAATAGACAAACTTGACCTCTTCTTGCCAATGTATTGTGCGGTTACACTAATTAGTAGTTGACAGTTTAAAGATGGAGCCTGACCTCATTGATGCTGACTTCAGCCTCCACATACTGCAGGCCCTTCTGGATGATGGAGATGAGGGCAGCAGGGGGAACCAGGGCTCCATTGATGTTGGACTGGCTGATGTGGCTCTCTATGCCAAAGGTGAATGCTGAGTGGGAGAAGCCTGGAGGAGGCATGGACCATTTGGAAAGTAGCCAAAAGTCAAAGTCCGCAGAGAGGCAAGAGCCGTATATAATGCAACATTCAAAATCTTTTTTTTTTCCAAGTAGGATAATCAGTGATATTCACAGCAAATACAACTGCACGCAAATAAGTATTTGCCAAAAAGAAAAAACAAACACAAAATAAAAAATTTTTGTAATGGTGTGCTCAAACTTAAAGCAAATCCAGCGTTTTGCACGGCTTGATTACATACAAAGGCAATGCAAAGATGCGAATTCACTGCCTGGAAGATGCGTTTGTTGTGACATTCGCTGGTTCTCTCGAGTTAAAAATTTTCAACTTGAGCGAGATATCTGCATGACGCTATGTTGCGAAAGCCTAGTAGCGGTGAGATTGTCCGGACGTCACAGACGGCTTCAGAGCGCTGTTTGGAGTGGACCAGGCAGAGCCGGGGAGTGACATGCCGCTAGCCGACAGAGAGCTGTTAAACTACAGGGAAGTGTAGAAGAGACAGGAGCAACGCTGCAGCTTTTGGACAAATAAACACCCGTAGTCGGGCTGCATTATGGTCTGACAACTATGCCATTTACCCGCAGGAAGAGCTCAGAGTTAACTGCTTTTATTAAATTAGCTTTTTACTTTAGTTTTTGGGATTACAACATTCATTTATATTCACTCAAGCTTCTCAGAAGCTAGCTTCCATGCATTTCCGGTTCCACTTTTGTTGTTAGCGTTGGTTGGCACCCAGAGCTCTTTTGGACTATTACTTCTACTACTACCACTAATAACCAGACAAAACTGGACCTTCGCTGGAGAAAGGAAAGAGAGGAAATTTAACTAACTGGTGAGTTCAGAACATGTGTCATGTAATATGTGTAACTTTTTACTAGCTATCGTTGTACTTTACTGTGAACAAGTTAGCATAGCATAGCCTTGATGGATCCGAATTTCATTCAGAAAACAAACGTTTAAAAAGTTGTTATCCTGCTGACTTGCTGACAGACCTGACAAAGCATGACTTCATATGTCTAACGAATCGGCATCATATTGTAGTTATTTCAGCATCAGTTTGATCTCTTTATTGCAATTAAATCACAGCAAAATGTTTACTTTGGGTTCATACAGCTGTAGTAATTGCGGGTTGTGTTTATTCGCGTTATTGCGTTGTGTGTGAACACTTGGCAGTTGACCAGCGATATAACCTGTGCAAGGAAAACGCTTCGAGGATTAAATTTGCGTTGTATGTGAACACACTGTAAGACTTACCTGACTCTTGCAGGTATCTGTAAACCAGGAAATTGACCTCATCACTGCTTATGCTCATTTTTAGTCCTGGTGATTAAACCATTGGGTCAGCACAGGATAGGAGTCTGTAAAAGAATAGAGAATTGATGGTATTACACAACATAGAACTGAGCTGAAAGGAGACTTCAGTAGTATCTTCAAATTATCTTCACCACTCAACTGCATTAACATCACACAGAAACATAAACTGATAGTAAGACTTGCAGGGCCACTGAGCCAGGTGTAAAAGAGTGCCGTCTCTGTCTCACACACACACACACACACACACACACACACACACACACACACACACACACACACACACACACACACACACACACACACACACACGCTGGAGATGGTATTACACTATGAGCTAACTACCTAGCTCACAACCAAACTGGCACACACAGTGAAAACAGAGAAGAGGAAGAGGTTAAAAAATGCATCACCCTGCTTGACCTAGATCTTGCGACTTCAAAACAGAGAAGTAGGCAAACACAAGCTGTTATCTGCCATTAGATAAATAAAGATGTTTCGTTCCTCTCCACATCTGTTGGCTGCAAAAGCCTCCTGGCTCAAGGCAGGCACCGGTTTCCATTCATTAACCTACAACTGGAAATAATTACCAGCCGTCTTCATGAGGCAGACTGGGCATGTTGGCCTAGAACGTCTGGAATAGATGGAGTTTAAACCTCAGTAATAACAGATTCTACAGTGCTTGCGTCGGGGCTCCATATTTATTCATGCAGATCCCGCACTGTTTAAATGGGATTGTGGAAATAAACAAGGGTTCTGGACGAGGGACAGAACCTGTACTGTTTCTGTCATACCAGGCCGCTGAAAGTCAACACGTCTCATGCCGCATCCCAGAGGCTGAGATCGAAGACCAAGAGGTCTGGAATCTAGTTGAAGCCCTTCAGCTATCCCTAACAAGATGGTCATAAAGTCCTGATAGCTAGTGTTTCCCACACTAAAGCACCAGTACTCAGTAAAAGGCTTGTTAAAATCAGAACATTTCACAGAAGACTTCAGCAATAAATAATAATCTTTCATCATACAACACAGCATGCTTCCAACAAAATGTGCTTTACCCACTGAATCATAATTCCTAAAGATCCGGAGCGGTGAAGTAGCTGTCTGTCAAACTAAGATTGGCTCAAGCAGCTAGAATGGACAGCTGTAAAGATACTTAGATTTTACTCAATGACATTTAGGGCTAAACAATTAATCGTTTTCAAATCAAAATTGTGATTTGAAAGAACACGATTAGCTAATTGTGAAGATGGTGATTAAAATGTAGGTTAATTATATAGCACATATGATCCATTTTACAGTCATGCAGATAAAAAAATTCATTCTGTTGTCATCCTTGTGTAAGAGAATCGCTCATGTACATTTTAAATCAACAAACGAAACTAGAGGAAAATGTGGGATAATGGCGTCAGTAGAACAGACACAGGCGGTGGGTATGCCGCGAGTTTGTCCAACATCAACTCACACTTAAGTGTTTCAGCAGCGGAGCGTTTAGCTTGCCCAACGTTCTTCATACTATGTCATATTGTATATACTGTATACCAATACACCTACCTCAGGTCATAGGTCTTATTTATTTTTTCCAGCATCTTTTGCACTATGCTCCATCACACTGTGTACATGTATGTGTACCTGTATATCATATCCACCTTCAACATGTACATAATGAGAATAATAGTTTACTCCTGCATCCTTTGCACTGTGATCACTGCACTATTTGTCAATATGTCTATATTATTTTGTTCAGTGTGTATATTAGTGTTGTCTATACTGTTTATTTTATTATTATTTTATTGTTGTGTTATGGTATTTTTATACGAGTAAGCACATCATGAGCTGATCCTGAGTCAAATTCCTCGTATGTGTACACATACCTGGCAATAAAGCTGATTCTGATTCTTCTACTATAGTTAAGTAGGCTACATAGTTAAATTGTTTCCTTTTTTTCTGTTTTAACTGTGTGTGTATATATAAATAGATTGGCAGTGAAAATTGAACTTTAGCTAAACCTTTTTTTAAAATATCCCCAAATCAATCAGCCCTAGTGACATTAGTCTCACATAACCAAAAGTCCAGACATGAGCTGCAACGATTAATCGATGAATTGTCAACTATTAAATTAATAGCAGTGTTTCCCAGACATACTTTACTTGGGCAGGCAACCCAGGTATAGTAATGGCCACCCAAGTATATCTGGCGACCAATTTTAGCATTTTGCAGGGAAACATAGAGAGAGTTGTTATTCATTATGTTACAAAACGCGGATGTGGTGGATATTTTATAAGCACGGACCAGGTAAAGTGACAGTGAACACACCTGTACAGTTGTCATTTGATACCACGCTGGTTTCAATCGTTGCAATAGGCTTCATCATTAACAAGCCTCCTCCATATGCGCCGCACCTCCAACTGAAAACTGAATCGCGAGTGGAAAAGTCCAAAAGACGACTTGTGTTTCTTTTTGACAACTTTATAAAACATTGCCTACTTTTTAAGAAAAAAAGTCTCTCTGATTCCAGCTTCTTAAATGTGAATGTTTTCTTCTTTCTTTACTCCTCTATGACAGTAAACTAGATATCTTTGGACAAAACAAGACATTTGCGGGCATAATATTGGGTTTTGGGAAACACTGATTAGCATCCCCCCCCCCTTTTCTGACATTTTATAGAACAAACAACTAATCAATTAATGGGGAAAATAATTGACAGATTAATCGACCATCAGTTATAAGTAGTAAGCAAAATTCTCTTGGGACTGATGAGCATTAAAATCAAGCTGTTGGTTCTTTATAATTATGAATACATGTGAGTGATGTTAAACGGGGTATCAAGTGCATTTAAATATGTGATTTAACATGCATGAATATTGAGATTAAAAACTTAAAAATCATTTGCCCTCACTAATTAAGTCTTTTAAATTATAAGACATAGTCTTGGTTGGTTTCTATGTCATACTTTGCCTTACTCCGTCCCAAGATTTTTAGTCTCCCTTTCTGCCACCCCCTTAAAGCAGGCGTTAGACCTTCAAAAATCATATTGACAGACTTTGACTCACTAAAGGTGTAGAGAGGCATCGCAATGCAGACGTGGAAGATTCTGCATCAATTCAGTGACAAAAATTAATCGTGAGTTAGCAGCCTACACAAACTTATAGCCTACTTACGTTGATTGTCCTAAATATGTAAAGTTATGTTGTAAGTTACATCGCTCGATAGCATCGAAAGGTTGGCAAACGTTGGGCTACTGTTACTTTTATATCTTGTGAGATATGGCAGAGATCAGCAGCGCATGATAAAAAAATGCACCCATTATTTTAAATGTGGACATCTGCGCACATTTCGGATTTTATGAACTTACTGGGAATCACAAACTGGACAAGACGCACACTGTGTGTAAAACCTACCTGACAAAAATGTTATATTTTGGTAATACAATGAATTTAAAAGAAACCACGTTAGCCATTTTCACCCTTAGTCAACGTCTGCAACCATGAAGAATACAGCGAGCGCAGCTACTAAGTTGAGAATTGAGGAGGCGCTGTCAACAAGCCATCCAACTCTAAGAGAGATTTATGTACTGAGTTGGGTCACACAGACACTGGTATTGAAAAGATGCAGCTTTTTATATTAGAGACTGTGAGACCTGATTTTTTAAAGCACTTTATAAATAAAAAGGGAGTTCAGATTTATCTGACTGCTTGTATTAATTGATGAGAAAGTAGCCATGTGCAGTAATATAGAAAACTGAGAATGCGATACACCGAGAATCATTGAAAAGTGAATCGCAATTGTAAGTGATTCACACCTCTATGAGTTACAATGACCACCCACCAAATATTCCTACATAGTTAAAACTAAAAAACAACAAACAAATGTCCACTCAAGAGACACCTACACTATGGAGCTACAATTACACAAATTATAGGTGCTCAAAGCCACAGTTTCAGAAATGTTGTTCCACAGTTGCACAACTATATTTTGAATAGCATCCTATATGATACAAATTTCAACCAAAAACCAAAGTGTACTCAACCAGTGAAACGCTCCACCAAACCTTGAGTATTGTTCATCCATACAGCAGTAGAACCACCACACTAATAAAATTACTCGGGCCAACATTACCCCAAAGCAACAATGAAATAATATGCCAACAGTGTTGTGCAGCCTTCATCAATAGGTGTTGGTTCATATTAATTCCTGCTCTAATAGGATTATTCTTACAAAGAGCTCACTTTCTATTAACTGAAGTCACAACAATCACTTCTCCTGCACGTAACCTCAGCTTACTGTTGAAACAACAAGGCGTGCAGGATATTCACTGCGTTTACAAGCAAGCCAGCAGTTCTAGTGGTTACCGATTAAAGTTCTTGATTACTGCAAAAAAAAGTTGTGTAAACAACTGGGTTATTTTATACATTATACGTACATACGTTATACATTTGAGAATGCATAATTTGTTAAACAAGCCTAATACTAACTGTTGGTCTTGACTGTGTCATTTCTGTACACCGTCCTCCCATTGGTTTGGATACAAAGCTAAATTACAGCCACCTTATTCTCTGTATGACTCCTGACATATTGCCATAGCAATGGGATCTTCCAGACAGCAATGTAAGTGTGCAGGTTTAAAAAGAGGCAAAACAAAATCTAAACACGAGGACAAAAACAATAAAGGTGTGACAATAAACAGTGAGATACACTACCCATATGAACAAGATCTTCAGATGCGCAGCATAGCTCCGTTGTCCTCGGCAACACTTCTCGGCTCCTGCAAGAAAAAAAAAAAAACCTGAATGCACCTCTTCCGATTCCTCAATTATAATTAATCACATCTACATCTTTATTAATTTCTTTGAATCGCTTGCACTCAAAATTCTCCAAAAATGTTGAGTACAAGTGATTAATTCCAATTAATAGTCTCCTTGGTGTGCTTTTAACATTTCAGACCACCTCCCACCATTTACTGTTGTTTAGTAATCTGCCCCGACTTTCTAAGTAATCCCTAAGTGACACTTCCTGCACATGTTATTATGCGTTTACATCTTGGTTAAGCAGCACAAGAGTGGTATAGGTCATGCCAAATGCTCACAGGAGTGTGTTTCTTTATCAGTGCTGTGACAAATTACCTTAATTAGATTGGACATTCAGGCAGCAGAGTGTCAGAGAGTGGGTGAAAAGGCAGCAAGTGGAAAGTGTTATGAATAAAGGGGCGTGTCACCAAACAATGAAAGAAACTGGGTCAACAATGTAAAAAGCCAAAACAGCCAGTGGATATTTGTGCTATGCATGGTGTAACTATCCATGAAGGATAGTATTTTAAAGGCAAGTATTTTTGTTTGTTGTATAGAGGAAATTAATTACAGTAAATATACATTTTAGATGCTTGCCACCTACAATATTAACAAACATCTAATTTCTGGCACAGCATCCCCAACTGGGGCCATGGATTGAGGTGTTTTAGTCTGTTTTGTATGCAGCAACATTTAACTGCGCAAGTCAGATGATGTTTTGTCGACATTACAGAAGAAAACTCGTGTATGTGGTAGTTGGGCCCGGTTCAGCTGCCCTCCTCAGGTCAGATTGATTTCGTGCTAGTTAATACCTGCAAGGTATGTCACCATGTTAATCTGTCGGTAACGTTAGCTAAATTAGCCAGATAGCATGGCACGCTACTTGCTGAAATACATTGCCCATCCCCCACACACGGTGGCGACACAAACTACAGTGTGTATGTAAATCAACACGCTGTTAGAGGCAGGTTAGTCACTAAACAGTTTGTGCCGATGAATGACTTAAAACACACGTTTTCCAATGTAAGGCATGTCTGAATCGAATAACGTTACCCCCCCCCCCCTTTTATTACTGTATTGCAACTCTGTATGTATTGACTACATTCATTTAAATCACTAAGGTTACTATAATGCAGTATGTAATGGTGGGATGACAATTGCCCACATACTGAGTACACATACTCACTAAGTGGACTTATAGGGTGGAAATGGGAACATGCTTAATCGGCTGTAGACTTCAACATAGTTGTCAAGTAAGCTAACCTACTATGCGCGTCTTCTTATTTACCTCCCAAACTAATTTCAGTAGCACTTATTTACGACACGTTTAGACGCGGTACCCAATTTGCCATGCGCTAGGTAGCGTTAGCTCAGTGGCTAACACGCGAGTACCATTAGTTTTGCGTTGGCGGCGGCCAGACCCGTCCTCACACATGCCAGGCAGGCAAGGCGGTCCAAGATTTCATTTATTTGATGCAAGTCACCAACAACAACCAACTACCAAACCAACGCAGTTAACACTACATGGGTTCGCGTTGTTTTGAATTACTTTATGTAACAACTCACTACAACAACGTTGAGTTAGCTTCTTGGAAACAGCATTTCTGACGCGTTACCGTCAGCTCGCTAACGCTAGCATGCTATGCTAATGACAGTGTTGCTATAATCTCGTACCTACTTGGGTAAAAACCTTTCAATTGACGAAATCTTCCACAGTTGTTGTGTTCAAATCAGACCATGTTATCTCTTTAATCGACTGCAAGACAGGTCGTTTTCGCACATATATTAAATGTCGTTAGGTTATAATATTTAAAGTAAAGCCAGGCGGTTAGAAGCAGCAACGGCTACAGACTCGACACAGTGGAGCGACCTGACATGCAAAAATGAGCTCACTGTAACTACTGTTGTTTCAAAGCGCCACTCTGTAAAGCTCAATTTAACGATTAACCCCTAACGACGGCGGTGTTAAATATATTCACTGCCTCCTCGATCGATTAGGGCAAAGTTGGGTGGGTAACTTATGCAATATGTAAGCTAGCTAATAGACCTATATTCATCATAGCCTTGTTTCAAATATCTACCCAGCGTAACTAACGTTAACAATACAAACGATAATTCTCAACTAACCTATTTTCCAAAAGCACCAGAAAAAAACGCCGTGATTTGTTAAAGCCGTCCACAAGCGTTGATTCAATATTGGCTCCTGGTCCGTTTGACAGGTTCACAGCAAAATGGAGCCACGTTTCCTCGTTGAAACCGACCAATGAGACGGAATAAGAAAAAAAAATGCCGAGGCCTCTGGAAGTTTGTCCCGCAGCCAAGCACCAGTCATAACACTGTCCTCGCCCATCCCCCACTACGCCTTATTTTTGCTTGTCGGGTCACCACTAGCCATGGATTAATGGCACCCCACCCCCATCCTGTGCTCAGTCATTCAGACTGGGAAAGTCAACAACAAGCTTACATCATCATTGCAATCTGTGTTTTACACAGTGATTTTTTTTTTTTGCTGTATGCATAATCCATAATCATATTAATTTCCCCAATGTTCCCACAGAAGATGATAGCCTAAAAGTGTTCATGCTGTATTCTGATGATTTATAAAATATCAATTATTCACTTGAGTAAAAATTGGATCCCAACCAAGGCAATTCAGTATAATGCATCTTGTGTCACAATGTACCTAGTTTGATTTTGATTAGTGACTGTCCTGATTTTAAGTGGCTGTACTCCCCCAGCCTTTTCCATTGTGAGATGATGACATATTGTGAAATGCAAACATGAGGGCTCTTTAATTAGTTGTACAACAGCAGCAAGTGTGCAGCATATTCAGCACACCCTTTGTTACATGTTCTTGTTCTACTAAATATGTTGTCATCTCTACTGAAAGCACGGATGCACTTTCAACAACCCTTCTTTATTTCCCACACTCTGTGTATCCTCACAAACATGAGAAAAACAAAGAATAAGCACAACTCCAAAATAACGTGTGTAATTTTGTGAGACAAATCAATTATCATTGCAAAAAAATGGCTTGGCATATGCTATCATCTTTAGCCAAGTCAGCACTGATAATATGGCAGAGGAACAGCACTTGCATGCAATCAGGTGAAAGTCTAAAAGGTTAGCATGTATTTGCATAGCCTATCTGATTAACTGTGATGGATTTGGCTCTAGCAGACATTGCATGCTGCTGCAGTCCACTGATTTCTTTTGCCTTTACCTCTTAGCTTGTGAGCTGTTTGATCCTCCCACTCAATTATCTCAGTGCTCATCTGGCCCTTTGTCAACATCTTTGGAACTCATCCACGAGAGATCGCTAATACCTTGTGCCATACATATGGATACTACAATGCATGATACTTTCTTTACATAGAGCAAAGCCGGGAGGATTCTGCCAGTAGTGGTAGTCACAAAACTGTGCACAAAATTCTGCAAAACTGGTTTCAGTTTCAGTGCTGTTTGTCTCTTTTAGTTAATTTATGGGTGATTTCCCTCATTCTGCCTCTTGCTTCTTTCTCCTCAAGCCAGGAGAAACAGAAATATGTGCTCCATCACTCCCACTGTGTGAGGGTGTTTTGGCCGCCAGTGAAGAAATGTGAAGCAAATTCCTCCTCTGTGCCAGGCTTTACGCAAAATGGGATTCACTCTAAGGGCAAATATTGTGAATTGAGTCACCTCTTCTCTATGACTGTACATCCTACTCATATTTATATACAGTGTATATACTGTACATATTTATATAGAGAGAGAATACATAACATACATCTGTAAAATAAAATCTTTAAGTAATATGTTCTGTTGCTAGCAGAGTACGGTAGTTCTCCCTAAAATGAGATTAGCATGGTTTCCCTCCATAAATGTGAGACAAGAAGGAATACAGTGGTACAATATCTGTGTGGGGGCAGGGAACTAATCTGCAGGACAATGACACGAGGTTGCTAGGGATGTGAGCACAGCGGCAACACTGATAAATATGTGCTGGACCTGTTGGCATTGTGTAATTGCTTTGATACTGGAACACAAGTGGAGGCAAGCTTTATCAACTGTCTTAGCAACAGCAGCATTGCCTTTTCATTTTGTGTGTGTATGTTTGTGTGACAAGAAGAAGGAAGAAAATGAAAAGGAGATTAGTAGCTACATCTAAGATAAGGACATATTTTATTATTACTTGCAAACCCCACAAAATAAGTAATACCCACTTATGACCCACTGTTACAAGTTTACATGCACACAGAATACACAATGATGATTTGGGTTTTCTTTATTTGCGACTACAGGTGTTTTTTATTTTATTTCTTGACATGGATTCTGGCACCTATTTCCAGGAAAAATGCCTAAAATAACATACTCAAAATAAATCAGTAATATCTCCTCAACCATTAGGCCTAGATGCATAATTCTTGTCTCCTTTGAAAGGTCAGAAGCTAAGGATTATAAATCCATTGTACATTAACATATTTATTTTACCATTGCAGACTACATGGAGATGAAATACAGAAAAAATATGATATTTCCATCCTCGCCTGGTAAAAAAGCTATATTTTAATGCAATAAACCATCATAAAATAGATTATTATGCACCTGAATATCTTCTAATACACCTGGAATACAACTGTATTTTTTTTTTTACAACTGTAAATTTGATGAAAAGAAACTGATTTACAACAGTTATTACACGATCTTTCAAAAATATACCAGGCGAATGTCCTTATTTTGGCCATATTTACTGTTTATATGTTCACTTTTATTGGAAGTTATCTTCAAAACATTATTTCTTTCCATACAACCACGTTCCAAATAACATAAAGCTTCCAAAACATTGAAATATTGATTAAAAAAAAGTCAATATATATGACGAAAAAGCACTCCTATGCTTTACAGGCGACAGCTTGAGAATAGAACATCCTACACTGTAAGTGGGCTCTTTCTCTTTGTATTGAAGAGAGGAATCAATTGACATCTTGCATGTCTGTGTAGCTCCTACGGGTCACCAGCAGAGGCCAATAAAAAACCCGCCTCCGCCAAAGTAAACTCTTCTTCTCTACTTCAATCTGACCACAAAAATGAAATTTACGGCTACCTCACCAAGCTGACCTCACCAAGATGGCGGCCCGCCAGACGGTCTCTGTTGACACAAAGGACCGCAAAACAGCTAGAACAGCGAAAATCGATTACGTACCCTGTATCGGGCAAGTCCGTTACCAAGTGTTGCGATAAAGGCAAAGATCCAAAGTATGATGAACTAGAATTACCGCCCCACAGTTCGCCTCCACCAAGCACTAAAGTTGCAGTTTATATGCATGCCTGTTCAAACTCATAATATAATGTAGTGAATACTTGGAAGGAATTGAATAAAAGGTTTTATGCATATTTTATCATTATATATCACTATATTGATGATTCACATGTATGATTCTAGTGAATATATATTATTGTAGGATTATCATAGATGTATTTGCTGAACAGGTACACATGTATCTGATTACTAAATAAAGATGGAATATTATAGGGTATAGCTATACAAAATGTTTTCTCCTGGAATTTTTTAGATGCAGAGCCTAGGAATGAGCTGTAGGTGACACTCACTCACTTACAGGACCACGAGCTAGGCGCACTGCAATACATTACTTGCAGTTGCGTGATTCCAGTGTCGCTTGAAATTAAGAATGAGGAAGTGAAAGGCAGAATGGATGAGATGGAGGAAAGTCCGTAACATTATTGTTTACTTATTGTGTCCCAGTCAACGTCCCAGTCAACGTGTGTGAGATCTGGAATCGCCCAATTGATTCTTACATTATTGCTAAAAACTTATTTTGACCTTTGACCTTTGAGTCATAGATGTAACATATGTTTCCAACCAATGTGAAATATGGTCACAATCTCCCCTTCTGTGGCTTCTGTGGTTTTTCCTATAGACTGTTTAAAACATGGACAAAGTCTCTGCGACAACAGGTTTCTGAAGAGCAAATGCAAAGCTCAATGTGGGCAGCTCCAGCCATCGCCATCTCGTCATCAATTCGTCATGGCCTTGTTTTATACATCAGTCTATGGTCATGGCCAAACAATGTGTTTTGTGAGGTCATGGTGACCTTAACCTTTGACAACCAAACTGTAATCAGTCTAGCCTTTTATCCAAGTGGACATTTGTGCCAAATTTGAAGGTTTTTCTGAGATATCGCATTCATGAGAATGGGATGGACGGACCTTTAAAAAGAACTTTAACAAAATATGTGAAAAAATATTATGCAAACAATTTCTCTCTGCTGGAGAATAACAACCTTTTTGAAAAGTTTCAATCTGGTCTCTGGAAGTATCACAGCACTGAGACTGCCCTGCTTAAAGTCACCAACCTTTTAATGGCTACTGATAGTAGCATGTGCTCAGTGCTTGTACTCCTGGATTTTAGCGCAGCATTTGACACAATTGATCACAGCATCCTGACAGACCGAGGGACTGGGTAGGAAGTTCTGTGTCTGTGTGAATCAATGTCTCTTCATTTTGGTTTATAAAGTATGGTGTGCCTCAGGGGTCAGTTTTGGGACCTTTTCTTCATATATACTTCCCCTTGGGTACATCATTCAGAAACATGGTGTCTCTTTTACTTTTACTATTACTTTTATGGCTCTACATGGCCTCTCTCCCTGGCGTGTTCTAGAGGCCTGGCTGAAAACTAAAGGGGACAGAGCAGTCAGGGCCTCCAGGCTCTGGAACAGAATGAACGTAGAAATCAGGTCAGCTGAGTCAGTGAATCCTTTAAGTCTCATCTTGAAACATACTTTTATTGGAGAGCCTTTTCTGATTATATTTTAGTTTAATTTTATTTTAACTGTATTTTAATTCCTTGATTTTTATCTGTTTCTAGTTTTTATCAGTTTTTTTTTTAATGCTGAGGGTTTTATGCAGTATTTTATTTTACTGCCCTTGTGAAGCACTTTGTAACATGGGTTTTGAAAAATGCTCTATAAATAAAGATTTTTCAATCACCAGCGTGAAGGCATAAAAATATGTACAGTAAAGAGTCACAACTTTCAGACTGGGACCCACTGCACAATAACACCACTTGTGTTATTTCTTTCAGCTGAGCGATGCACAAAAGCACATGTGACACTCCACGGCATCACCACTCAAATTGTGTCCAATATATGCTGTGTGAAATAATAGCAATTCAAATATTTGACAAGACCAACCTGACCTAATAGCAGCCTTCAAATGCATCATTAACACAAAGAATCATGTCAGTAAGAGAGTGAGTGACAGAAAAAGAGAGAAAGGGAGCAAGAAAAGGGACTGCAGACAGCTTCACTGCCTGCTCAGCAAGAACTATTTTTAGATCCCATGAAACAAAGAAGCAGAATCGCCTTTCACTCCCTATATAACTATCTTGTTTCAACTCGAAATGTGGTACTTGAAGACAGTCTGCAATTCTTTCTAGCTTTATTTAGGCCTAACCTCAAATAAATATGAATGCCTTTCCATCTGTCTTTTTTCTCATCCTGTTATATTTGTGTACATGTTGTCCTGCTGTCTTACTGAATGTAAAAGGGGCTGTAGTTATTCCAAGGCAAATGACCAGGGTATAATTAAAGGGGAAAGCATCTGAGCTATGAGGTAGGAAGGAGCTCTGGCATTCTGGAGATTGTCTTGTATTGTACTGTACTCTCCTGGCAGTGAATGTAAAGTGGTGAGCGGTACACACTTCTGCTGCTGCTGCTCTAAGGGGCAGACTTTCATGATCACATGCACCAAAGGGAGATGAGTAAAGACTGCAGTCAAGATGGCTCATCAACTGGGGTCTGCAAGAGAGAATCTTCTAGCTGGTCGGATATATACTGCCACGGAAATCATTTCCCATAAAGAAGTCATAGCTTTAGATAACAACTAAATAGCCTCTAAAGATAAAATTTGCTGGAAACAATGCAATGCCAAATGTTACATTTGAAAATGATTTTTATAATAAACACATTTCTCAGGGGTTCAGCATGCAAAGCAGAATCTTTTATGTACAAAGATCTGATATAAAACATATAGCTGTGCACATAAATGCCATTCATTTTTTGCATTTTGTAAGATAGAAACTTTCAAGTCAACAGTGTTCATTTTCTCTGGATCACCTACAAATCTAGTACATTTCAATGGCAACAATAAAAAAACAATGGTGGTGGTTCTTTGACCAAACACTGAGAAAATAGAATATCTGCCAAATAAACTGATATCTTTACAAGGGTTTGCTCTCTTTTGTATTTTTGTAGGTACATATACTAATTAAGAAACATAAAGATATAACTATAATAATATATAATGATGATAATTATTCCCAACACATTGACTAAACTGGCCTTTAATTCCACACATTTACACTTGTCGTTTTACCAAAATAAAAGCATCACTTCAAGAAAATAAATTATGAATGACTGGCACTCCTTGTGAGCTGTTGCTGGTAATCAAAGAGGAAACCCCCAAGATTTATCTTTCTCCAGTTTCTGATGCTGCAGAGACACCTTGTGGCAAGAAATAGCAATGTTTCCTCACTTCAGTGTTTGAAGCAGTGGCTTGCAAGTTGCCTATGCTGTACAGTTATGACTTGTAAGGCAAAGGTGTTTGAAATAACTGCTCCTGGATGAGCAGCATAGTGACAGGCCCACAGTCGAGCCAGTCAGAGCCAGTTATATTTGGAGGTACAGTGGAGATTCATTGTGCTGGACCAAATCATTTTAAGCATGACAGCATTGTACAGGGAACTCAGATTACTAACACAGGTATGGCAGGCATTCTGTTCACTTGGGTAAGGAGTTTAAATAAGAGATAGCCAGCTGCTGTCCCCGGGAGCCCAGTCCATGTTGGAGAGCCACTGCTGACAGTTATAGCCCAAGTCTGGATTATCATATCAATACAGCAACAAGAGGTAGGATCTCACAGATTGTACATTTTACCACTGCTATTTCAATTTAGTACACACTAGTCACACACAAAAGCTGGGGCTTATTGTAATTTGGATGTGCAAAGACAAGAGATTTTTATAGGCACCACAGGGAAACACTGACTATGAACACAGATAGCATGTTACGATACCATGTGGTCAAAAATGATCCAGCCCACAATAGAGGGTCAACACACGGTACATAGCTGAGTTTTAATCTCATACACATTAAAGTGATTCATTAGGGCTCAGACTGAGCTACAGTGAGATTCATCTCCAGTATAAGATGGCTTTGGACATTTCACTGTATACAGGGTCTTGTTTTGAAGTGAAGTTTCTGTGTTTATGGAACAAGTAAGCAATTGCAAAATACACATAATTCAATTATGAATGGATGACACTGAGCACTAAAATATGAACTCCATTCAATATGTTTGAGACATGCCGTTTTCACTGTTCACAGTGTTCAGTTGCAAGTAAGTGTTTACTGCTCTGCTATACCTCTGTCGGGTGCTGTGAAGTGGAGCATGCTACTTTTTAAAGGCACCAAATACTATAGGACACCTGACAGGGGAGAAATAATCACTGGAAGGACAAAGCAAAAAGTACACCGTGAGACATTCTTCATCAAAGAGCATGTTGATAGCAGGCTGGGCTTTGAATTCCACAGTGCAGTTAGCACGCAAGGTGAGCAAACACCTACTAAAGCAAAATTTGCAGGATCAGAGTTGAGCCCTGAGACCTAGTCTCTGTATGTTTCACTTGTACATATATTATGAGCTCAATAAAATCCAAAAGAAGTTACAAATATATAAGATCATGGCCATATTATGAGACAATGGGCATAGACATGTAATAGACACCCCCTCCTATAGAGTAGCAAGACTCCCAGACTGAAAGAGCATAACAATTACAAATGACATGGCCGTTTTGTCTCTTTTTGTCTCTTTGTAGTTGTTTTGTTATAATTGTGATAACATTGTAGTTGTTTTTCGTGAATTTGTGTTTTCTGTTGATCTTTGTAATTATTTTGTGTCTCTTTGTAGTCATTTTGTGTTTTGTTCAGGCCTGTTTAGTAATCCATCCATGTGTACGATGACACCTGCTCTACAGTCATGTGGTCTACCACATGCCATTTTGGCATCACTCAGTCACGTTTTCAGTCCTGCAAGATGAGAGAGATGCAGCTGGAAGAAATATGAAACAAGGACACACCAATAAAGAATATATGTGAAGTTGGCTGATCCTATCTGCCTGTGTCTCAGGATATATAGTTCATTAAACTGATAATTGGAAAATCTGAACAATACGTGTCTGCTGGGGTAAGCATTTTCACACTAGTGTCAGGCAATGGAGCACCTCTTCAGACGCACAAAGACTGTCTCCTTCCAGAGCTTAATGCGGTGACACTGCAGACAGGTAGCTTTATAAATGGGCAGTGATATGAAGAAGAACGCAAATATATCAAATATCAATCCTTCAAGTTGGTGACTGTCATTCAGAACCACTGTTCACCCTATGACCGTGACTTTATTTCAGATTCACTTAAGTTTTAGCCATTTCACTTAAACAATTTCAGATTTTTTAGGGATCTTATGAACTTCATTGGAATGAACATGCTTTTTAATGCCCCAATTTGATCCTCTGACATCACTGTCAATTTTGATATATTATTGTTTGAGAAAAGTGCAAAAAAGCCTTTGCTAAGGCCAATGTGAAAAATATCTATTGTACATTTTTAAACTTATTTCCTTCATTTGAAGCTAACTTGGAAGGCTCTACAAGGTCAGACTCAACACTGTGACAGTGTCTGTGTACATTCCTTATAAGTTATTAGGTAGGAAGTCACCTATTACTGTAAGTCCAGCCTACATGAAGCATGAGGCATAGCTCCCAACAAATGTACTGCTCTCACACCCCACCCCACACCAAAAGCTTGAACCTGACTGTAAGTTGGCACAAGGAGTAAGGCGGCCTTTCTAAAAGTACGTTGTTTCCATGTTAAGCTGAAATCAATATAGTTATGTGTGGAACTTGAGGCACTCGAGAGCCAATGATCAGCAGGCTTTTATGGAAGAAAAGTTGTAAGAAAGACCATAAAAGTCATGTAAGTGTGACTCTTTGTTGCGGGTATGCATGCAAAATCGTGTGGCGTGTTTTGAGGAAAGCATAAACCTAGATAACACTTTTTGGTTTCCTTCAGATTGCTTTTGTCACACTGACGTTGTCTCTCTGCAACATTTCCCCTAAACAGCTGGGAATGTAATACAATGACGAAATTACTCATCTAAGAGGAACTTGTTGGCTGGTTTTGTAACTATTCTTCTCCTAACACTCTGGCAACGTTGTTATCCCCCATAGAATGAAAACAGCCTGCTTATTGTTCTTACATGTTAGAGGATTGGATGGTTGCTACAGAATGTATGTACTGATTATTCTGCATCTCAAAGAGAGTAAAAAAAACAATAGGATATGATTGTTGATTCCCACTTGATTGATTGGTATTTCTCGTTCAATTTTGACTCATGCTGGACCACAAGGCAGTGACATCACTGCTACCATGACGACACATAACTAATAACATGTAAATGTTCTAAATTGTGTTATTGAATAAATCCCAGGCAACCTCAAGAGTGGGTTTGCATCGACCCTTACCTTAACGCTAACCCTTGACTGACCAAAAACAAATAACTCATAATGCCTCACTTTCCAATTCATTTGCATCTGAACTGAGGCTAATGTTATTTATGGGACCCAAGGCTGCATGTGTAGCATTGAATGCTGTGTTTTCCGCAAACGATAGGACCAGCAGAAAGCCAGAGGAGGCACATGCAAGGTGTTGTTGTTGTGCCAAGAGAGGACCCAATGACTTTGTGTTGACAGCAGAAGTGTTCATGATACAGCAGGTAGGTTTTTCATGAGCATCTCATCAGCATTAACACCTTTCATCTGTGGCTATCTGTCATCTTGTTTACTCTTTGTAGCGTTTCTTTGTGTTCAAAATGAGATATTTACCTGGTGGGGTCCACTATATCAGAGGCACTTCCTGTCTCAGCACTGCATAACACCCTAATGATCAGGAACTGATGTTTGAAGGGATAGCAAGGCATATACTTAATATTTCTTTTCTACAAAGCTGGACATATTTACAAAAGTTTGACAGCAAATATGCACCAAAGGTACAGTATGATTTGCCATCTTACAAATGTGCTTTGTAATTGGTGACTTGGGATGTCTGAAGTTTGTAATCTAACGTTTGTAATCTCGTGAAAGTTCAAAAAATGTACTCTTGCACTTCAGGACAGCTGAAACATAAACCTTGACATAATTCACAGGTCTTTTCAGCAATCTTTCCGCTCCACTTCAGCAAACAAAGGAGGACGTGGATCATCACAAAAGATGTTCTTTGTGGCAGGGGCCAAAAACAAAGCAGGATCGGATGGAGGAAATGAAAGGAGGTAACAGATTCATACCATTTCAGGCTTATAAAATCACTCAAAATGCAAAGTGGCTCATACCTATCATTCATAATATTTGCACTGTAGCTTTAATATATATATATATATATATATATATATATATATATATATATATATATATATATATAATGACTCCTCCTCATTTTCCATCAGCAGGTCATTCTACCAGAAATTTCGTGAGGTAGATTTATTGGACAAGAAGAAGACAGTGACAGCTCTAAAGCCCGGTGAAGATCGGGCCATTTTTCTGGGTCTCGGAATGATCCTCTCTTCAGTCATGATGTACTTTGTCTTGGGAATCACTATATTACGCTCCTATGCAGACAGGTAAAGGCCTGTTGTTAGAATAGCCTTCTTTCTTTTACAGCCTATAAAGGAGTTAACGGATATTTCTGTCAGAAACATGTTTTATTCATCAGATGTGCTTGTTGACAAACTGCTTTAATGCTCTCTGAACCTGTAAATTGTAAAAAAAGAAATTACTACTTTATGAAACTATACCCCAAGCTGAGTTGATTTCATACCATGAGATTCCCAAAATGTTTTCTTTTTTTGTTGCATTAAATTGGATCCTCATTTAAATGTTAACACAGTGTGTGGACACAGGAGAGTGTGTGTGTTGTCCTCAACTCCACGGTCACAGCAGACATGAACTGTTCCTACAACTGTGGGGCAGACTGCTGGAGAGTCTCCAAATACCCCTGTCTGCAGGTCTATGTGAGCGTCAATAACACGGGCCGTATCAGCCGTTTATCTCACAATGAAGAGACCCAGGACACCAGCTCTGAAGTGAGTACAGTGCCAGTAGGTAAATACTGAGAATTACTGAACTGTTTCAAATGTTGATAACGGCTGTCAGACGTTGACCTGATTACAGACCTACTCTGCTCCCAATTCAGAAAATGTTAGTCGATAAAATTTGGATTTTTCCTGGTGAAGCTGAAATATGATACATGAACAGTGATGTGTTCAATACTGTGAAATAAAAGAAACGCATCACCTGCCACAAACACAAAAAGTATAACTGACTGATTATCATCAGGAGAACCTCATTGTCCTTCAATCCTGTCTTTGCAGTGTTTCTATGTGCCCAGGTGCCAGAAGGACAGTGTGGCCATGCATGTCATGATTATGAACATCTCAGAGCGCCTGAAGGTGAACCAGCAGGTCCCCTGTTACTACGACCCCAGCGAGCAGCAGGAGACCGTTCTCCTGACCCGCCTGTATGACCACACTGTTGTCTTCCACTCGCTGCTCTGGCCTTCCTGCATGCTTGCAGGAGGGGCCCTTATCATCATGATGGTGAAGCTCACCCAGTACCTCTCCAGGCTGTGTGAAGAGATAGGGAAGATCAAGAGGTGAAATTACGTGAAAGCCATGGTGGTTTGGTGATGGACGTACGACATGAAAAGGATTGTTTTAACCAAACGACCTTGCTGTGACCTCTTGCAAACCTTCCTCCACAGTGAGACATTTGGAACAGTTGACTCTCACTCCGGATCGAGGGTGTGTGTGACTGTTTATAAAAGGTAACTGAATGTTCCAAGGTGGAAACTGTCAGCGTTACACAGGGAAAACTATGACTGGATTTTACATGGTGTTAAACTTTGTAAAATGTTTATTTGGTAGTTGTTTCCAAGAGTTTGTTACACCTGTAACCTTAAATGTGGTATATTATGAATATGTGCTTGCTATGTCACATATGATATACATGACAAAACCAACCTATATTTAAGTCGACAGGGGACAACATTGCTGTCTGTCCAAAAATGTTCTCTATGAGGTTATCAGCGTTGAGGACTATTACAATTTGGTGAACTTTCTCAAACGTTCCTGTATTTTTAAAATCATATGTGATTGTTTTCTGAGACATTATTATGTTCTTATTTGATCTCAGCAGCCAAATAATATGTGTAGGTCTCTCATGATGAAAAGTCTGTCATGAATGAACATTAGATGTACATAACCTGACATGATGTTTTTTATCTGTCAAGATGTTGGATAATTTGGGAAATTCAGCTCACCAAACCACAATGAACATATAAAGACATAGTATTTAAAGTACTTTGCATGTTCTTTGAAAATATATTTATTGAGACATTATTACAACACAGTATACTTGTCGAGTTATAGGAAAAACTTACCTGGGAGTTTATTCTTCAACACAACAACTAATCAAGGATATCTCATGAATTAAAAGAGCAATTTAATGCTCCCATTGTGGGGATTTTGCAGTGGTACTGTACTAAGCAATGTGGTTCTTTGTGGTCCTAGTCACACGCTGTGGCTCTAAAGTTAAAATAAATGATCAACCCCCAGGATGTCTGTACACAAGAAAGCACACAGTGAGCACATCCGCATCAAAACACACATAATGGTGATTGGCTGATGGTAGCCATGAATTTGGAGAATATCCCCATCTTAGAATGTATGACAAATAATCAAAGGGCAAATGTGGTCATGTTTCTCTGTTACTAGAAAAGTTCCGATAAAGGTTGTTGTGAATGGACGGACTGCAGTATATTGTCAATGCAAGTAGATTTAAAGAATGCTCAGGATAAGTGAAGGAGAAAGGTGTGCAACAAGATCAGACTTCGATTCAGAAGTTCACACTGTTAGAAGACACTGTTAGAAATTTGGTCTAACAGCTCGCTTGAATGTAGACATGATACTGGGATATGTGGTACATGTGACATGAGATGTGCAACGGCAGAAACTGTGGAAAAGAATAAGTGTAATCAGTGTGGGGAGGGAGTTATGAAGTATGGCAAGCAGACAGTCCAAAGAGAAAGAAAAAGATGTCATGAGGAATAGGTCCAAGAGAAAGATGAGACACAAGGATGCAGTTAGAAAAGAAAAGATTCAAGAAATAAGGGAGAACATATCAGGTAGGAAGCATGATGAATAATGCTTGAGTAAGGACAAGGTTAAGTTCATAGCATTTCAGCTTTTCTGGACATGGTGATAAACTGGGCTGTGGAATTCAGTGTTCTATTCATTTTTAAATATATAGTGCTAATTCATAACAAATGTCACTTTTAATAAAGCAGGTCTGGACCATACTTTAATATTATTTTACGGAGACCCAACAATTCCCACCATGAGCAAGCATTTGGCCACAGAGACAAGGAAAAACTTCCTTTTAAGAGGTTGAAAGGAAATCTGACAGAATAGAAATAGTTGTCGATACTGCAAGAAAGTTTTTGGATATCATGGGAGTTACTGGACTGTTTCAGGCCGTCTCAGAGCTTTTATTAGGCAAGTTTTATTGGACAATGGGATGTGGGGTGGGGAAGAACTTTCCTTCATTTTATGGTTTATTTTTTTTAGATTGAATAAGAGAATTTAGTCTTATTTTCAGTCCAGAAGAAGGTGGCAATGCAACATTTTGATTGCAAACTGCCTCTAAAAACCAACGAAGAAGAAAAAGCAGGGCAGTTGTGCAAAATATCAAGTTCATACCATAACCACTGAGCACTGAATGTAGTATGTTACGTAATGTCCACGGTGGAAACATTCAAACACAACATGCATTGGGATTAATGAATCATACATACTTTTTCTCCACGTTTTCTCTGGGGGGCTCCATCCGCGCACAATGCTGGTGAAAGAACTGGCTTTGGGTTGTGAATATGAACAACAACTTTGTTTTTTCTCATGTGCTCTTCTGTGGTATTTAGTGTAATATCAAAGAACACGGTAAACAAGTAGTTTCCCTTCAGCTCTCCAGTTTCCTATCATGACAAGCTGCCTTCTCCACCACCACCTAACTCACCCTGTGTGGGAGGGCGGTCCATGATGATGAGCCTGCTAGCCGTGTGGAGCTAGTGTGCTACCAAACTGTGCGGTGTATTTTCGGGACAGCACGATGAAGAACATCATGAAGTATTGTATACATATTCCACTACAGCATATTGACAACATTACCGACAGCTAGGGGCGTCTTTTCTCCACTGTAGCGGGTCTGTCCCGACCACCAGTATCATTGGATGGACTAACGTTGACCTAGCACCGCTGCTTGAGACTTCCCGAGCGGGCACGAATGGGATTTACTCGGCTAGCCGCTGCTAATGATTGTGCTGGTTGAGTAGCTTCGAGGCTAACCGGTTGGCGCTAGCTATCTGACACAGGTAGCTTTATATTTGTTTATTTGTGTTTTTTTATTGTGTGTTCGCTTTTACTGTTAACCAAAACAGCTACCCGGTTACATGACAAACTGTCGGGTCGCACCCTATATTGTGAGTTAGTAACGCTAGACCAACATTAGCTTATGTATCAATCGAGGATTTTTCATATCGTAAATGACATTGATCTGCTTAGTGAACTTGGCTAGCGTGGTTAGCTAGCTAGCTAAGAAACAACACCTAACATTAACCCACTAACCAGCTGCACAACACAAACTAGTCTGTCAAGCCCAGGCTAAAGGCTAAACCTTAGAAGTGTTAGCCACACTTGACCAGTCTGTTCGTAAGTTAATGCTTGTTAGCTAACAAGTTTGTTTACATGATTTTTGAAGTCCTTTAATTCGACATCACTGGACATTAATCAGTTCAAGCTGCCCTCTTTTAATTAGTATTAGTTATTTTAACACCTACTTACTAAAGCGAAATATGTTTCCGTCTCTTCTGTGATACCAAGCTATGTTATCATCAGCTTAGCTGCTGACGTTGTAACAATTTAAAAACGTAACGTTACATGTTTTAATTACTAACGTACATCGTTAAAGTTTGTAAAGTTAAGTTGTCATAAATGTGTTGCTATGGCTTGTCTGTCAAACCGAACGAAAGTCACTATATAATGGATATGTTCAATATGGTGAGATCAAAAACTTTAAAGCAATATACTGTGGTCATATAGGTATTCCTCTATTAAGTTATTACTGGATTTCTGTTAAATTGGGACACCCCCAGGAGTGTGTATTTAGCATTAGGCAGCTTTATGATCACTTAAGCCAAATATTCACCACAAGTTTTGTATTATTGTGCGCAGGTCAGTGGTTCTTATATAATCCTGTTTCATTTTTTCCCTCACAGTTGGTTAACATAGCTCATCAGATAATTACCAGGCTCTGAAAAGGCCGGATTTGCAGGCACGACCATGCCTCCCAGGCCCTCCTCAGGAGAACTATGGGGGATGCACTTGATGCCCCCCAGCATCCTAGTGGACTGCCTTCTGCCAAATGGCATGATTCTCACGTTGGAGTGCCTCCGGGAGGCCACACTCATCACAGTCAAGCATGAGCTTTTCAAAGAGGCCAGGAAGTACCCTCTTTACCATCTGCTGCAGGAGGAGAGCTCCTACATCTTTGTCAGTGTGACCCAAGAGGCAGAGCGGGAGGAGTTTTACGATGAGACCAGGAGGTTGTGCGATCTCAGGCTCTTCCAGGCCTTCCTCAAAGTCATTGAGCCAGTAGGCAACAGAGAAGAGAAAATTCTTAACAGAGAGATAGGTAAGGTTCTTGAATTATCACGCAGCTACAAAACAACCTACTGTACATTACAGTAATGTGCTGTACTGCTTGGCAGTGACAATACCCACAATGAGTAGGAATAACATAATACTTTTGTCTTTACCGGACCACATATATTGTGTTGCGTGTTGCACTGTATTATGCCAAGGCTCACATTTCACATGTCATGAAAAATGCAAAAAATCTAAATAATACATTTTGAGGTTAAACGACACAGCACTCATTTTTATTAAGCACTGTTTTTCCCTTTTTAGGTTTTGCTATTGGAATGCCTATTTGTGAGTTTGATTTGGTGAAAGACCCAGAAGTGCAGGACTTCAGAAGGAACATTTTAAATGTTTGCAAAGAGGCTGTGGACCTCAGAGACAGTAATGGACCCCACAGTAGAGCTTTGTACGTATATCCTCCCAGTGTAGAGTCATGTGCAGAACTTCCCAGGCACATCTATAACAAGCTAGATAAAGGTAAGACATTTTACTCTGGGCAGCAAATGTTCAGCATCTCTGTTTATGAAAATTGTTTTTCAATTTCATCTTTTATTTTTTTCCCTCAGGTCAAATCATTGTGGTCATTTGGGTTATTGTGTCACCCAGCAATGATAAACAGAAATACACCCTGAAGATCAACCATGACTACGTGCCAGAGCAGGTGATTGCTGAAGCCATCCGTAAGAAGACACGTAGTATGCTGCTCTCCCAGGAGCAGTTAAAGATGTGTGTGCAGGAGTATCAGGGAAAGTACATCCTCAAAGTCTGCGGCTGTGACGAGTACTTACTGGAGAAATACCCTCTGAGTCAGTACAAGGTAATCTAATTTAATCTTAGCGTAGCTCTATCTGATGCTACTGTGCTTAGAGAGGAAGAGATCCACTTCACATCAAATTATCATCCGACTAAAATGTGCTCTGTATTCGTGATATGAAATGTATCGGACAATGTGCTGCCTGTAAAATGTGCTGACTCAATAGACTGTATACATCATGGTATATACGTACAAGGTAGTGAATGTTT